GCCTATAAATTAATCTTTTTCCCCTCTCAAAAATTTTACCGTCTCGGAGATTCTCAGGAAGGGATTCGTCCCCTCGGCCTATCCTCAGAGTTATATTAGGCCTACTGTACAGTTCTTGTCTTTCGTTGAGAGGTAAGCAATTTTATATATTTTGCAATAAATGAAATAAGGATGTGCGAGACTGTAAAATATTCCTGGGTGTAAAATATTAGGCCCAGAAATCGCCACATTTCGAAAATATGAGCCGATTTCCATGGATATTTTGCAGAAAATTGAGGCCTTCATTATCATATTAGGAACACAAGAATTTACGATTCTGCGTATCTACAGTATTTTTCTAGAGGTTTTCCTGTGCAATTTGAATTAGTTTGTTTGTATCCTCTGCCAAAAAAAAAAAAAAAGTAACAAAACATTTTAAAGTTAGTATTAGAATTAATTAAGATCTGCAAACGGGTACAAACAGACGATGTGGCCACCTCCTCCCATTTTCTCCAAATACTGCATAAAACACAGTCCTATCAGCCTGTAGTTTAGAACTTGTGTATCGTGGGAATCAATTATGCCTGAGGAATTTTTACCTCCAGTTGTCGAGACGACGGCTTTTAAACATGTAATAAGAAAACGATCAACACACACCTACATACATAGAATACTATTAATAATGTTTATTTTATTTGAAATTCTCCATATTATACATTATTGAAATTCTTGCAAATTAAAAAAAGAAAGAAAAACATTTTTGTGTTATCCATGCAGTATGCATATACAGCAGGCCTATTAAATATTGTAGGGCCTTAGCAAAAATACTTTACTTTTGTGTTATATTTTTATGATTATTGAGCAATAATATTGGGACAAGTAAAATTGTCTTCAGGAAAAGTGCATTTTTCAAAGGTACTTGTCCGGGGACAAGTGAAAATCTATGACATACCTTAATGCCTGCCATGGTGTTGGGATTCAATATGTCAACATTAATAGTCATCATCAGAAATGATGTATGGAACCAGATACTGTAAATTATCAACTTTTGATAACAGTGTATAGTATGGCAGAATCAGTTTTCAATATACACATTTTATACTACAAAAATCAACTGCAAGGTATTTAAAGGTATGATATCAAGTTTGTAAAATTTAAAATTGTGTTAAATATAATTGCTTTAAGAAACCTAGCTGATGTGGCTGTAATATTCATAATGTACTGTATTACTTGTCTAGACCACTTTTCCATCACGCTATCGCAAAGAACTCTGCCCTACCTAGCCTATCGTGAGGCACATTTTTGTCTGAATGCGGCCAGCCGTTGCAATTAGTGGTGAACGATACTTGATACTCCCGATTATAACGATTGCATCGCAACAAAAGTACAGCCTGAATACCCTATAATAATAAATTTCACATATGATCACGCTGGAGCACTTGAAACCCCTTCGTTCTGCTGATCCTATGACCCAGACCCATTGTCAGAATTTTTATAGTGTAGAATATTATGCTTGTTTTTTTTTTATTGTGATGATGAATAAACGACCTGTCCTTATATGATTTGTGATAATTTTAGGGTCTGGCCTGCTTTGGATGCTGCTTGCAAATAGTGCTTCTAGTGAAGTATCCATCCAAGTGTTACTTGAACTTCATAGAAATTGTTGTTGTACTTTGTTATGTAAGGCAGAGACTGTATAATATACAGTATATAGTTGATAAGGAAGGACCACATTTTAGGAATGTATTAATTTTCCCACACTTGGTCTCACTATTAAAGGGCGTTATGGGGTATCTTTAACTACAGTCTTTTGGTTATGTATACAAGTTCTCCCTTGGTGAAGAATGAGTGCTGCAAATTGGTTTCTTGTTCTCCAGTGGTGCTCAGTGTTGATGCATAGGGAAATTCTGAAAAGAATTGAATTTTGATGATGGTAGTTAATAGAAAACAAACAAATTTGATTTTACTACAATGCGACGTCACTACGGCATGCATGATTTCATAAGACGCCAATACAAAATAATTTTTTCTCTGCCCTCTTCAAGATCTTGCAATTTGTACAATTTGGTTTGAAAATAAAAACCAAAATCATAAAATTTTATAAGCTCTAAACCAGCTACGGTATTACCTTGCTTTGTAATCTTGTAATTTCCTTTGAAAGCTTTATCCCGGATATGTATTAAAACTGAATCTAGTAATTGACATGCTTCACTTGATCATCATACAATAAATTCATGAATTTGTAAATGACAGGCAGGCTATAAACATTTTTTAGGCAGCATAGAGTGGAGTTGAATAGCTATAGTGGTTAAGATGCTTGCCTTCTGATCCCAGGGTCCTGGGTTCAATTCCTATGACGGCAGGACCTTTTGTCATGACTAAAAACAACTCCATTCCAAGCCTCATAAAAAGACTCCGCTGATAAATGCATCATATTATTTCATTTATTTTTAAAAGAAGGTCCTGAATATCGCTGAAATGGTCACCCTCTAAAATTATGGTAAAAAAAGAAAAGAGTGATTATTTTGAGGTATTTATTTAAAATGGTAGGCCTCTACTGTAGTTCATCACATGCAAGTCTACTGTAGATTTGCACTGCATTGAAAATCCAACTAAAGTAGTTTTATTTTTTTGTAATATTAATAATAATAATATATTGATGTTTCACATTTGGTGGTAATGTAGCATACAATGTAGAGCAGTAATACTTTAATAGATAAAACTTACAACATCTAATAATAGCATAGTTAGCAGCTAACTTTAAAGTTAAATACTGTAACAGCTTTAAAAATGTCCCAACTTAAATTAGAAAACGGAGAGAAAGAAGGGAGAGCCGATAGCCAAACTGATGTATTTTTCTTTGTAATTTTAATAATTAGTAATTGATTTTGATGAACTCACACTTGGTGGTAACATGCAATATACATGTAGAGCAGTCATACCTTAAAAGCTAAAATGTTCATAAAATTGGTATTTCTGAAAAGAAAATTAACTATTAAGGAATCTAAATCTAAAAATTGACCATATCTAATGTCAGTGACCATTTGACCTCAAATTTGACCTTGTGGATCGCGTCACTGTGAAATTTTAATTCGTGTAAATTGTTGCCCTGGGTGTTAACTACAACATATAAAATAATGAAGATGTAATATTTATTATACTGTAAAACAAGCGATATTACTTTTTTGACAATCTGTGAATTTTTTTATAGTACTAATACTTAGGTGATTTTCATTGAAATTGGAGTGAGTCTGGTTAAAACATTTCATTAAAAAATTATATTGATACAATTCTTTGACAACAAATTGTGCATTAAATTATTCTGCGAAGGTTGAAATAAAGGTGGGATGCACGCACGAAAGACAAAAAAAAATAAATTAGAAAACAAGGAGGGACAGCCGGTAGCCAAACTGATGTGTTTTTCTTTGTAGTTTGTATAATTAATATTGAAATTTGACATTTGGTGGTACTTTAGCATGCAATATAAAGCAGTCACACTTAGCTAAAACTTACAAAATAACTAATAGCATAGTTACTGTAACTTTACCGCCATTACTGTATGTGGAGTATCTGTTCATGCATGGCTACATAGAGAGAGCGAGGCTCACGCATGTACTGTATGTGGAGTATCTGTTGATGCATGGCTACATAGAGGGAGCGAGGCTCATGCATGTACAGCTCGTGTAATATTCAGTGACTGTTTTTCTGGTTCTTTTAACAGAAAAGAATTATTAACTACTGTATCCTTTTCTGTCATATATCGGTTTCTTGTGGAGTGGGGCCATACGTTTTCCCTTAAACAGATACCGGCGCTTTATAAATTTTCAATATTATTATTATTATTATTATTATTATTTAAAGTTAAGTACTTTAACAGCTTAAGAAATGTCCAACGGTATGTTTTAATGACCCCACCTGCTCTTATGTTCAATGCTGAAATCTATCTATCATAGCACTTCCATCTGCTCTTCCATTCCCATGCACTCAACATGTAAAACCTTCAATGTTACATCCAGGTGATATGTGGTCGCAATGACATTTTCAAATAAAAATAAAATGTTATATTTGGCCAATTAGCGCATAAAAATGGACAGTTCAGAAAAAGATATGTTTTTCTGTATTTTTGCCTGCTGCTGCCTTGAAAATCTCCAATAATAAGATGTATTTCTTCATATATAGGCCCTATAACTTTAAAGCATTTAACCATCCCATGGCATTACTACGCTGTTTTCATTCAACAATAAAATTTGATTTTTTTTTTTTCTCCTCCGTCTGGATGTTTTTGGGAAAACCATTTGCTAAATGAGAAAAAAAATAAGTTTGCGAAAAGGTATAAAAAGTCTTGCTTGAGTAAGAATGTTTTATGAGTTCCCATTCATCTACAATTTCCACTTTTCTTCTGTCCTTCCATGTACAGTATTGATCTCTGTGTACTACAGTACTATTCCAACTGACAGCATAATGTTCCACTTAGGGCGCATTCAGATTATGTACTCGGCATAAAATGTTGTCGTAACATTATGTTCTCGGCACATGTTCACATACCACACCGAACGAAAATGTTTTCGAAATACGATCATTCAGATTATAAAACCATGTTATTGGCATTTATGCATGTGTAACATTTTGAGAGGAGCTCAGAGTCACTGTAGGCCTAACTTTATTTCCATTTTATTAAATTTGTCTCTTATATGATCCCAGGGTCTTCGTGGAAATCTCAAGATTGTCGGATACCCTTTGGAACAGTTGCCTATTCCCAGATCCTTTGGTATTTTGTGCTTCTATCTCCCTTCTTCCCAAACTTCAACTACGCAATTCATTTCGATGACTGCACTTCATGTGCTTCCTCTATCAGAACATGTTTTCAGCATTTTGTTTTGTTCCAAAAAATTTAGGCCTGCAGCATAAATTAATCAAGAGAACAGTAGTACTGCTGTATTATAAGAGCACATAGAAAATATTATTAGATTATCACACTTGTGATCTAAAAAAAAAGTGATGAAGGGCGGTTTCTTTTTAATTGGAACAATTATAGATTAGGCCTATTTCGCCTTTGTTTTTATCGATGAGGGAGGGGACTGTTTATATTTGGTCTGTGCATAGAGAAAATAGAACAGAAGGAGTAACATCGACTTTATCGCTTATCTTTAATCCAATTAAACAGTCAGCTAGTGCCTATTAAATTGCACTACGGCCACCCGCGGAGCTTATCACAGCACTATCTCTTTGTACACACAGCTCCTCGCCGCTTAAGTGTAAACCCCTATAGACGCTCTGGCGTTAGTGGAGTACTTAATACACAAACATTTAAACATTAGAATTAAAAAACACATGCGCAGTTCATCATCCACGATTTGTTTGTGTGCGTGTTTGGTATATTCAGACAGATTTTTTTTCGGCGAGAAAATGCATACTTTAAACGTCAAAATCGGCTTAAAATAACTGTTTCTTTTATCAGTTGTAAGTATTGGCTTATTTTTATTTCTACGTGTGCAACTCGAGCAAAGTGATCACCATCGCAATTGAGGGTGGTATTTGAACCCGCATTCATTGCCAGTGTAAAATGATTGCAACTCGGCATCAACCCAGACTTTTTCCTTTGATGTAAATGAGAAATGCACCCGGGATTACTCCGGAATAAACACAGGTCTATTCTGACTTTGGCAGTGTAAAAAAGGGGTATTAGTTTGGTAGGCCTATCACAGGGTTGTAGCTGTAGAAAATGGTGGGTGGGTAATAACATTGGTAAACTCTAAATAATATGAGCGGATTTTAAGGATAAAGTGAGTTAATAAGCGTGTGTGGAAGGCCATGAAATTAGCTTTAGACTGGGTGGAAAACTTCAAAGCTAGGTGGCCCCGCCCACCATAACTACATCCCTGCTGTCATATGTCGTGCATCATTGTTAATAAATGTTTATTAAGGTATGCTTGTGTCTTCATATTATTCATTTAAACACTGTATAGAGTACATTGTACTAAAACCCTGTTTCTCAAAGTGTTTCATATACACAGGGTACTATATAATCTTCATTACGCGCGCTTCAGAATAAAATAATCTCGTAGCACTTATTATAGAGCAGCACTTAGTGAAAAAAAAAAAACATGTTTGGTGTGGCCCCTATTTGAGGATTTACGGTAATTTTTTCTACCAATTTGTTTCTTTTTTTGCATAGCAGGACGGTATGTGACGGGTAAAGAGAACAACTCAGAAGTGCTGCTGGACCGACTAATAGATGATTTGTACTTGAAGTCCCTCGAAGGCTTTTTGTATGTCCTCTCTCAAGAAGGAGATTTTGTTTACCTGTCTGAAAATGTCTCAAAATTCCTTGGTTTGGCACAGGTATTGTATATATATATATATATATATATATATTTGTTATAATCTATTTGTGAATCTACCACGAAAGATAATACAAAGTTATTTCATTATTATATATCGGTGTAATGTGTAATCTGGATTGTGTTGTCACATAGATTCAGATTCATTTTTATTTGTCAACAAGTACATGAAATTATTTCTTGGGTATTATACACATATAGTACAACAAAAAAATTCAGAAACACAATTTAAACAAAATATTAGTTTAATTTTCTGCAAACAGATTCTTTGTTATATAACCTAATAATATATATTGGCTCAACTAAATAGAATATTTTCATTTTATTACAAAAAAGTCACTATAATGTCAAACTTCACATTAAAGTGAAATAAAACCACTCTTAGGCACAGGATGTGGCGTTCCCATTATTTTATCAAAACTGCCTTATAAGGAATGCTGACAAATTTCACCCTGTCAGAAATTCATTTAAAGTATAGTATTCAAAGGAGTAGATAAATGCAAATCTCCAAAATGATGTGCTAATGATAGATTTACGAGCTTTTATGACTCTTATTGTGAAAGGCGCTACATAAATAAATTACCGCTACGGTTTTATCCACCATTCTATGAATTTCTCCAAGAATGGATGTTAGAAGGACCAAGTCAGCAGTTAGTGGTCACAGCGCCAATCTTAAGAAAGAAAATAACTTTTTTTTTCACTGTTTTTTCTTTTTGTATATAATGGAGAACTAATATAAGTTTATTGAAATGGCTTGTCTACAATAAATTTTTAAAATTTAATTTAATTGAACATTCATCAATAATATCCATCCAAAAAAGCAAAGATTTATAATAGTTTGCACCTAGAAATTTGGTACTGATATAGAAAGCGAGTGTATGACTACTCTTCTTAAAGTAGTAAATATATAATTAATTATAATTATATAATTAGTATAACCCATAATTAATTAACTCATCCAGTAAAGCAATAATTTATACCAGTTTGAACCTAGAAATTATTACTATGTATAGAAAGTGAGTGCCCAAGTTTTACTATTGTTTATGGCTACTCTTTTTCAAATATACAAAGTAATAAATATATAATAATTATATAATTAATATAATTAATTATATAATTATTAATAATGGTATACAAAGGGACATTCTGAGAAGGGTACAGTGGTAAAAATAAATCTACTCTTTGAAAGCATTAATGACCCATGTGTGTGAACTGTATTTTAACAAGCAACTAGCAGTAACTAACATTGGAGATGGTCCCTTATTTGTAGGTAATTGGAGTTAAAAAGTTAAAATCACTGATACTAAACTAGAAACGGTGACTCATGATACACATCATTCTCATGCAAAAGAAATAATTGTAATAGACTAGTTTAACAGGGAATGACTATTACTTTTACTATGTTTAAAAAAGTTAAAGGAAAAATTTAAACTGGAGAGAATATGTCAGTCTGTTTACTAACATCCAGATTTATTTGGTCTATCTTATAGTAAATTTATATAGGCCTATAATAGTAAACTATAAAAAAAAAGCGTTTTGATTTATTATTTATATACGTGAGCAGTTGGCACAGTGGTTGCGGAAAACGGAATGTGGGAAGAAACTGTAAATTCTACCACACAAGGCTTAGAACGATAGGCTAACAGCTCATTCCCCTACGTTAAGTAATGATTTCTGGGACTACATTTATCTTTTATTAATCTATTTATTTATTTATTATAAGGCGAAACTTTTTTTATTCCTTGTTTCGCTTACTTATTTTTTAAAGGATCATCGGAGAAGGGTTGAACAAAAATAAAATTTTGTTTTCTTATTTAGCAAATAGTTTTGCCAAAATTATCCATAGACGGAGGAGAAAATAAAAATACAATTTTATTGGTGAATATAAAATAGGATGGTTAAATGCTTCAAATTTATATAATTAGGAAGAAATATACATATCTTATCTTTGGCGATTTCCAGGCAGCGGAGGGCGTAATAAAAATAAAGAAAAATTGTTTTTTTTTTCCTGAAATTACCATTTTTTTGTGGCGGCAGGTTCGCTAATTGGCCAAAAATAAAATTATAAAAGCGAAATGAAGAATAAAATGCCCTTGTCAATTTTGGAGTGATCTTCATACTATTTAGGCCTATACTTAAACACATAATGCATCATCTATATCAACAGGTTTCCTATTCGTGGAATCAATTCAGGAAAGGGTTCGTAACTTCCTTCCTAAAAATTGTTTGATGCAATAGATTGTTAACACTTTGGAAGTAAGTGATCACATGACTTCCATTGGGTGTAGAATGCAGGCCACTCTGTGTATTTGTTTAGGAACTAGAAATTTTATGGTTTTAGATTAGCTAATGTAAATTAAATAGCAAGGAAAACCAGTAGATTTAATATCATGTTAGTTACATTAATATTCTCTGTCTCTTTTAGACACTGCAATTCACTTAATCTGTTGTGGTTCTAGAGCTTGCCTAAAATCCCAATGAGCCACACTCACACGGGGCTGATCAGCATTACTGACTTTTGCAGACCAAAGTTCCATAATTTGATTCTAGTATGAGCATGTCCACAGTAGGAAGTCATTGAAATCATTATTTGAAAATTGAACTTGGGAACATTCCAAATAATCCATAACTACAGTCTGTTGAGTGGGAGTTGACTGTAGATTGAAATTCAAGTCCAAGGGTTCACCCTAGTTAGGTCCAGGAAAAAAACTGTTGGGGGTTGGGGTTAAGCCCCTTTAGCATGTTTATCATCAATTTGCTACAACAATAATAAAGCATACCATAAATAAACTTTTATTCGTTTGAAAATTGTAGTTTAAAAACATAAAATTACTACCACTGTTAAACGAATAAGTAGGGGTGCCACGATCATGTATGCATGTGGTGGACAATGTAATAAGGTAATAATCTGGATTCTAGGCTAGCCCTCAGTTGAAATAATTTATTTTATCGAGCTTTTCGGTTTTGTTTTTGGAAATGTACTGTATTAAAAAGAAGCAGGGACCATGAAAATTTAAATAGACTATTTCGTTTCATTATCAGCGGTTATAGACGCTCCACGTTTAATACCCGTTCGTTGCTAGAACTGGTAATGGCCATTTAGACTCCACAAAAAACTTGCCCAAACGCACCCTAGGTTATGGCTCTGTTAAAGTACTACATTATTCACAGTGATTATTTACAATCTAGAACCTAGTAGGTCATGTGACCACCTGGTCCAGAGTATTCAAGTACTCAATATCCACACCCAACCTGCCAGCTGGGTGCCAAAATTGGCAAATTAAGTTTTAGGGTTATCCGGGAGAAGGTGTTATTTTGAAATATTTTATTCCTACTAGGTTGATCTGATGGGACAAAGCATCTATGAATTCACACATCCTTGCGATCATGAAGAGATTCGTGAACAGTTAGCAGACAGGCCAGGAGTGTGTATAACCAACAAAGTGAGGGAGCATCAGACCTTCCTGTTACGATTAAAATGTACGCTGACAGAAAAGGGCAAAACCGTCAATCTCAAGTCGGCCATTTACAAGGTCGGTTTCATAAAATTTGTTGAAAACTTGTAATGATTATTTATTTTATTTCATTTCATCCCAGCAGCATAAATGCGAATAACAGGGAGGATACAGTAATGATAAAAAACAATTATAAATTATTATTAATTCTTTATTAATATGATAAAAATTAAATTTGATTTAGTGTCATAATTTTGATGGTTTACGGAATGTTGAAGGACACTATACTTTTTCTGTTTCTGTTCAGGCATATTCAGTAAGCTTCCATTTATGCTCATTCTTTAGTATATATCTTAATTTGTTTTATATACCACGCAAAATACAAGGGTATGTATGCACAAAACAAGTGAACAGATGTAATTGGAAAAATAAAGCGAAAAAAGTCTTTATCTTGGTTATATTTCTCCAGATCATCCCCATGTACACTTTTGAGAGGTTTTCTTATTCTTGGTTAAGTTTGGCAAAATAAATATTATACTGTACTGTACCATGAATTTGCATTTACCATGCTTACAGGTGGTACAGTGTGTTGGTCATAAAGAATGGGTTGATTTGGTCGACTCAAAAACTGCAACATCAACAATATCATCAAGTTTGTGTCTTGTGGTCGTTGCATCACCCATCCCCCACCCATCCAACATTGAACATCCATTGGACAGTAAAACATTTGTGTCCAGACACAATATGGACATGAAATTCACAGATTGTGATGAAAGGTAAGCTTGTGTTCCTACACCAACTAGCCTTTTCTAGCGGGTACATTTTCTACTGTCATTCATTCTTCGTCCATTTAGCAGGTAATTAACAAGGTCATTTTATAGGAGTGATGTTTTACTCTTTCTGACATGTTATCATACTCAGTACGTCCCCAAATACTTGCAAAAAAATTCACAAGGGATTTTGGTAAGGAGATGAAAGGTAAGCTTGTGTTCATACACCAACTAGCCCTTAAATTTAGTGTTAAAAAAAACTCCGTTTATAGCCTGCGAGTCCATTTCCCACCCAAAGCATGTTTTATTTGGGGACGTACTGAGTATTCAGTATGATAACACATCAGTTATGCAACACTAATAAATCATCATATTTTTTAGTAGGATCATAATGAAGTACTCTACTTTTGTAGGCCTATTATTATTATTCTATTAGAGATTTCCATACTGCTGAGTATATTTGGCAGTTTTTATTCCTTAGTGGCAAACATTGTAATAATACTGACAAGTAAAATATAGAAATATAACATGGAATGGTGAACAGGATTAGATAAAGTTATTCCTATTATTTGATTTATACAACGCCCTAAGCAAGGAACAGCCATAAAGTGCACACATGCACATATACTGTTCTTGAACTGACAAAGGACTGGTGGTTTCTAATACCCCTTATTTGGCTATCATGCATTTCAACTTTCACTAATCAATATTTCAACTGAGATAATGCTATACTGTTTGTATATTATTGTTAGTTTGATGAAAGGTTGAATCCAGATTGGGCATAGTATAGTAACTATGGTTTAGAGAAACACCTCCACAAGTGATAATTAAAGATGATGGTAAAAGCTTTGCAAAGGCAATTTAAACAGTTTTAACTTCAGCTAATATAGATGCATTATATTTGGATTTAAGTCTTACAAAAATAGACAATGTTCTACTCCATTAGCTGGTGTTAGACATTTGCATTGTTTAGCTTAAACAAGTTCATTGTAATCTGGAGCAAAGGCTATGCAAAGTCTGATCATTTAAATATAAACGTCTTTATTTATCGACATATTTATTTTTATATTTCGATGCCTAGCTCTGCAGTGAGTTCTGCCCCTTAATTTGTATGACCTTGCGGTTTCGTTTTATCGGGGATTTAGGTATTTCCATGAATTTTAACTTTTAAGACAACGGGCTCAAGGAAGATAAATATATCAATCCTAATGGTTTCCACATGTTGTACATTAATGTTTGACTGTATGTTGTGCAATATAAATTCTATATACTTAATTTCTGTTTGATGTTTCAGAATTGAAGAACTCTTGGGTTACAAAACATCAGAAGTAGAGGGTCACTCATTTTACAAATTCTTTCACGCTGGTGACAACGAAGTCGTCGAAAAGAATTTAAAAGACTGTAAATATCATCCCTATTATATTCATCTGTTATATATTCATCTATTTTGTATACTTGTAACATAACAATTTCTGAATAGTTCCTAAATGGAGATTTTCACTAATATCATAACTTAAATTTCCCCATTATTTTTTTTTCCAATTCTTACCTCTTGTTAAAAAGATAGTGTACTTTTAAAATCTGGAAAACCAAAGAGGAGAACATAAAGCCGGTTTTAGTTTTCATACTAGACAAATATATTCGCACGAATCAAAAGCATCGGTTCGCTTCCTGAGCTCTGATTAGTTGCGCATTTTTTTGCTTCGCAAAAAGTAGAAACAGTTCAAACTACTGATTCACTGAAGTAAAAAACTCTGATAGAGATGTGAATGCGTGTGCGCATGTATTGACGCTTTTGATTCGCGCGAATAAATTTGCTTAGTGTAAAACTGGCTTTAATTAATCATTCCCTCCCCTCAAGTTTTCCCTGGATACTAGGCTGAACATATGGCATCTTATTTGTGGATCCTTTTTCTCTTTTAAACTTTCAAAGTCTTTTGCACTATGTCACTGTCAAAGATCATGATTGTCAGTTTTATCATTCCCCTCATTAGTCACCAGCCTGGTGTGTCTTGATCTCCTTTGGTCCCTGAAGTACTATCTTCTATGATAAATGATCCAACTATCAAGACATTCCGCTTGTTAGACATAGGATTAGCACTGTGCCATAAATATAATAAACAGTTTGACTAACACCTGTGGCTTGTTTACAGTATATTCCAAGGGACAAACTGTGATTGGTCAATACCGGTTCTTGGCAAAAGATGGTGGCTATGCCTGGATCAGTACAGAAGCAACAATTATATATCACAACAAGACGTACAAACCACAATGTATTGTTTGTATACATTACTTGATTAGGTATGGTATAAATAAACATAGCAATTCTAGTTTCTTTAATTCTATGTGTGCACTGAACCATGGAGATCCTTAAGCCCTGTCTAGACTATCAAATTTTATTTGACAAAAACATGTGACATGCCTAAATATGGTCATGATGACATCATATCATAAATATGACATGTCATGACTCTATATGGGCATACTGGACTGGTCTTTTTATGTTTTATTCTTGAGGCTAAAATGCAAATTACTATTTATAGTATTAGTGACTTACCTTTCAGCCTATGTCTAGTGTTCCGTCGTCTTTTGAAAAAGTAATTTAAACTAATCAATCATTAATCTGCTTTCAACTGTACAGCATAATGAATTTCAATAATTCTAAATTATTAAGCCCCTTCATGTTATATTATCTATTATAATAGAATAACAATTTGATTATTAATTATTAAGCCCCTTCATGTTATATTATCTATTATAATAGAATAACAATTTGATTCTGATTTTTTTTTTTTTTTTTAGTGGGGTAGAGCAAACCATAAATGTCCTCTCTCATGTTTAAGATATTGCTGTTGTTGTACTGTATGTGCTATGATATCTTAGTATTTGTTACAATGTTTTATATGGACAGGTGGTCTGACTTTAAAGATATTATGTTAACTCCATTAAGTACCAAAGATCAAGAGAAACGGATTCCAAAGCTTTGCCATTAAAGTCAGTTATAAGTATGTTACACTGTCCCTTGTCAGCCGTAGTCCTGGCCATTGTTGCCATTAACACCAGCAACTTTTGTTTTGCAATAATATTTTGGCCCACAGCCAATGTTGGTAGGGATTTATAGGCAGATTTATTTCTTCCGTGACCAGAGTTAATAGACGTTAAAAACAGTTTGAAACAGTATGGAGAGAAAGTGGCATGTTACAAGGCTTTGTCTACCCTCGACCAATTTTATAAGGAGTTTTGTTGAGACTTAATCGAAATAAATAAAAGTGAGATGTCATCAATTGATGTTCATCAGTCCAAAGATCATCATTATGATTCATCAGATACGTAACATAAAATCAAGCTTAATTGTTTGTATAATAACATGTGTGGTGTAAACATTGCAGTGAAGTAATTCTCTCCATGAATAACAGACTCAATAAATATCTTGGATATATTCTGCTATAACAATTGTGTTTATTATGTATCGCTCTTTATTTTGTTGAATTAAATACCTGTGGAGGTTTAAAAAAATGTGGGAAATTTGAATATATACCATCTGTGGTGAAATATCTTCAATTTAAATATATGAAATAAATATTGTCTTGCAATAAAACAGATCTAATATTTCAGTTTTTACTGATTTACAGATGTTTTTTTTTATATAAATTCTTAAGTTATACCAGCCAAATTATGGTCTATGAAAAAGAAACAGGAAAGTTAATATATCCATATAGTGGTTAAGAATTTTTTTTTTTTTTCTAAATTTCAGTTTTAAACTAATAATTTATTTAAAGTAAGCAATTTTCAATTAATGTATATTTTAAAGCAATTACATGCTAACTATAAGCAAGATTTCTTTTTTTTAATGCAAAATTACTCTGTTTCTTGTCACTACTTGGACAGCAAAAAATCTTTGTTGAATTCAGTGCCAATATTCTATAATGTCAATTTGGCAGAGTAGATATTTGTGGTTTTTTAATGTGTTTCTAGCTGACCAAGAGGAGGATCTACAACAGAGATTGAATAAAACTATTATCATGTCAAAGGTCAAGTGTCACTGGGGAGATGACAAATACTAGCTTTCTGTCTGCATCCTACTCTGGCTGTCAACAAGCCATCCATATTCCAACTAGTTTCCTTGGTTATGTATATTTTTATAAGCGGTTTAATGATTTTTATTGTGAGGGGCTTAAGAAATACAAAACTATTACCATATATGGGCATAATGTCTAATCCTTGGGGTGATTGGTGGGAGTTCCAAGCAGCATGAACATATATGGGCCCTGTTCAGACTATCAAATTTTATTTGACAAAAACATGTGACATGCCTAAATATGGTCATGATGACATCACATAATGATCATATAGGCACATCATGACTATATATGGACACATCATGACTATATATGGGCACATCATGACTATATATAGGCACATCATGACTATATATGGGCATACAGTTTTTTGTGAAAGAAAATTTCATAATTTTGACAGAACTTTAAACCAAACTTTTTTAAGTAACTTCTAAGGCAGTTGCATATTATAGGATGAATGACATGTGGCAAAGAAGCTACCTTAAATAATTAGTATGTTCTGTAGGCTTCGGCTTATGGTGCCCTGCCTCTAAATTAGTAAATTGGTATGTATGGGGTGTATTGGTGTGTATGGGGTGGTTATTATCTTGTGTAATTTTATTGCTAACCCTGCTTTTTAGGTTTGGGGCTGCATCTAGTAAAAACATGAATTTGTGGAAGATAGATTACTTGACCTAACTTTAAAATCAACAATATGTTTCAGTATTTGAATAATGAAAATATGAAATTCAAATTTGCAACATACAGTAGTAAAAACGTGCAAACATGAATTCATTGGAGACGGATTACTTTACTTTAACTTAATAATATATTTAATAATATATTTCTGTACTTAAATAAATTAAAATATGTAATTCAAATTTGTACAATTCTTTTTTTGACAATAAGACCAAAATAAAATAAGAACGAAAAAAGAATGGTATGAATTTTTTGATTTACAATTCTGGTGAAATTTTTGACAAATGTTGTGTTTTTTTTTCTACAGAAGATCAAATGTCATCAGGCAAGAATGAGTGCGCCTTTGACTACGCAGAAATGAATCATGGCATCGGTGACAACTTTATGGACTTTGATCCATTTGCACCAATGGATTTTGAGATGCAGCCAGAGAGTCAAATGTCACCACAGGTAAATGAGCATCCTATTCAAGCAATAATCAGGGGGCGGATTTAGGGTGAGGGGCCCGGGAAGTAGTTCAAGTATTGAGCTGTGCCCTTTGTGTATTTAGCAACATTGTTTTTTGGCAGTAAATCATCTTCATTCTCCTATAGTTTCTTAAACCTTCTTACTTGTAGGTGGCCTTTTTCACATTATTAATAAAGTTTTATCATTATAAGAGATGTGTATAAGAGGCAGGATGGTTGGTCTGAGTCGTAGCATGCCAAACATGTCTGTTGGATCAGGAAACACAGGTGCACCTGCTAAAAGCCCCAAAATTCTTGAGGCGATTCATGAATCCGTGTTACCATTGCATCTGGAGACCTCCAATCAATATTCTTCTCCAGAAGATTGTCTCAGCATTCTACAGATTCTCTGTGATCAAAAGGATGGCCAGCAAAATACTCTGCAGGGGTTACCAGTACAACTTAACCAAGAGCCACGAATCTCATCAGCAGCATCACATATCTCACCACAAACATCACTGATCTCACCAGCAATGTCACAGAACTCACCACAAACATCACAGATCTCACCAGCAACATCACAGATTTCACTAGCAACGTCACAGAACTCAAAACAAACGTTACAAATGTCACCAGTAACGTCACTAAGCTTACCACAGACTTCACAGATTATTTCAACAGCAGCATCATCATCAGGATTGATGGCATCATTGCCCCATATACGAATGAACTTTGACCCAGAAAAGGATCCCGATCCTGATTGGAGACAGCTGGAAGCTAGTCAGCCTTACCTAAAGCAACAATTTGGTTATGGAAATAATGGATCAAACCTGAGATTACTGAAACGCAAGCTCAGTAGCGATTTCAATTCACCAAATGCAAAATTGTTTGCACATTCCTCTGGTAACGGAATGCCTGTGAAGAAAGAATTTGATTCAAAATCAACAATTTTTCCACAACGTAAGTAGTTCAAGTATTGAGCTGTGCCCTTTGTGTATTTAGCAACATTGTTTTTTGGCAGTAAATCATCTTCATTCTCCTATAGTTTCTTAAACCTTCTTACTTGTAGGTGGCCTTTTTCACATTATTAATAAAGTTTTATCATTATAAGCTGGTATTTATGTTGTGTAAGCTCTGCAACATTGTTCGGCTGCGGGTTGCTTTCATGACAAATTGTATTATTCTCAGATAATTGTTGCCATACCACCTTCCTCCTTTATTTGGCCACATGCTTTCTAAGAACTGTATTAATAATAAGGATAGTAACTATGATAATGTTGTTGCTAAATATTACATATGTTTTGTGGTTTTCAGGTAAACAGACAATAGGAACAGTTGACCTGAATGCATGGGCCAGCATTCTCAGCCAATCGGATCGTACTTTGACCAGTGACAAACTCATACATTCTAAGCTTCTACAGCAAGTAGCTATGAAAGCGGTAAGATAATATTTGGAAATTTCAGACATTAATACTAACTGATTTAATGTGTTTATCAACTCAATCAGTTTTTCTTTTAATACAATTATTGAAATTAAGTGAGGTAGGTATAATTAGGTGAAAACTCATCAACCACAAAATTCATATTTTATTTCTAGATTGCAGTCTAACTATAAAATCCTATAAATTAGTGAACTTCAATTATAATAAAAATTATAATTTACCTCAAGAATAGCACAAGAAGTAAAATAATTATGAACTTTAACTCTACCATTATTGTCTTTAACTTTCCCTTATGTTCCTCTCAAACTACAGAATGAGTCCTCAAAGAATATCTGTAAGCCAACTCAATCGTTATTCGGCACGCCCTCTATTGCCAGTCTGTTGCCGCTCATCAACCAATATGATGCAGAGGTCAATGCGCCGATCACGCCTTCATGTCTCCTGCATGGAAATGACCTCCTCAGAGCGCTTGAACAGTCAAAGGGTGAGACATAATTCACTCTGAGGCCAGTTTTCAGCACCAATTTCATGTTAGTATAGTATTTTTGTCAAAACTTAAACTCTCTGATACCTTTAGTATTAAAGAGTATCTTCCAGGTAACAGGATGTCAAACAATATTTGTTTTTTTCAGGTGTAGAGGCTTGGCGAGGCCTTGCTAGGCCAGGCTAGGTTAGGCTAGGCCGTACCGAGGCCCATGTGCCTGTTCGTTTAGGTTGTTTAAAACCTAATTTCAATGAGAATAGAACCTTTAGTTTATGACTTGACTTCAACAATAATTGTTGTCATTGATTATTAGTTTGTCATATATTTAAGACGGCCCCTAAATATCAGCCGACAAGGCTACATAGGTCAAGCTGGGAGGGTCACCTATGGTTTTGGTTTAAATAGAAGTAAATGCTTTGTAAATAGCCATATTTTCATTTAGTATTTTGGTATAATAAGTATATTCTTACTTGAATAAAATTCAATAGGGAATGGACAATTGAATAATTAGCAGAATTATCAGACTGATTTAAGGAATTGAGTATCCAGTAGGGGAACTGGGTATCTAGTGGGGGAATTGAGTATCCAGTGGGGTAATTGAGTATCCAGTGGGGAATTGAGTATCCAGTGAGGGAATTGAGTATCCAGTGGGGGAATTGAGTATCCAGTGAAGGATTTGAGTATCCAGTGGGGGAATTGAGTATCCAGTAGGGGAATTGAGTATCCAGTGGGGCAATTGAGTATCCAGTGGGGCAATTGAGTATCCAGTGGGGCAATTGAGTATCCAGTGGGGGAATTGAGTATCCAGTGGGAGAATTGAGTATCCAGTGAGGGAATTGAGTATCCAGTGGGGGAATTGAGTATCCAGTGGGGGAATTGAGTATCCAGTAGGGGAATTGAGTATCCAGTGAGGGAATTGAGTATCCAGTGGGGGAATTGAGTATCCAGTGAGGGAATTGAGTATCCAGTTGGGGCATTGAGTAACTAGTCAGGGAATTGAGTATTTAGTGGGGAATAGAGTGCATGGAAAGCTTGTACTGTAAATATGTTTTGTAAACAAAATGAAGCAGCTATAAGAATTTCATGAGATTTAAAAACTTATATATTTTTTCCATCTATATTCTGTAAGTTAAAGTGATATTTTTAAAACATTGCTTGAATTATTCAGAACAAGTAGATGCAATTAAGTAATAAGTTGATTTAAATAAAGTGGGCATATAAGTGCCTAGAGAACTTGTAAATACATGTACTGTAAGTGTTTCAGTTAGAGCAACACTGTAATATTAAGTTTTCTGTGTATTTTTTCTCTAATATTTTGTAGCATTGCTGTTGATTCAAAAATCAACATAATCTAAGGACAGGAATTGTAAATATACTACAACATGATATTATGCGTGACTATGTCAGGTATACTACAACATGATATTATGCATGACTATGTCAGGTTTCTGTCTCAAAAATTGTGTTCTTATTGTGAATATTACTATTGCTTTTATTATTTTATTTTTTTGTCATTGCTTTGCATTACTTTATATCAATACTTACTAAGATTGGCTTTGAATTGCCATTCTAATGCTTAAAGTAAATGGATACATTATGGATTCACTCTGTCTTTTAACAGTGGCTCTGATTGTTGTAATCATGTCTTAAATATTCAGAAATGTTTATCGTGTCTGCTTTAAGATACAGTTTGTGATAAGTAGAACAATTAAATTCCTTATTTGAATTGCTTTCATTGTACATTTAAGTTACTTATTAGCTTTTGATAAGTATTAGAACAAGTCATGCTTAAGTATCGATACGTATGGTTCTACCACTGTTGTGTGCACTACTAAATGTGCGACGACGAGACACTAGAACAGATGTACTCGTGCTGACCGTCCTACATTCTTTGTACAATGTAGATTTGGTCAAATTGCATCCTAGAATCCGTGCGACGAGAAATTAACACTCTCGCATGCCCAGATTAATTTATTACGTTTAACATCCCACCACGTCATGCAAATGATTCTCCATGTGAAAGTCTGCACTTTTAAAGCACATGACACAGAAAATACTGGGGTCACAAACTTAAAATAAGTGAAGAGATGTAATTGAAATACAAAAAAATTAACAACTCCAAGCCAGCACCCAAATTGTAGTAATGGTGACATGCCTATGTCACTGACCAGGAATCTATTAAAATGTACTTTCATCTGACAAGAAGTCAATTATTTGGCCATCCCATGCCAAAAAAACATAACTTATTTTTTTTGTTAAGTTGCGTTGGAGCAGCTGTATTTTATTTGTGTTTTGTAATTTAGTTTCAAAGACCCCTGTTTGGGTCTTTTCGACTTAAATGGGTTATTCCAATTTGTTAGTTGTTGCACATTCAGTCAGTCAGTATATCAGTGTATCCATATATTGGACAAAAGTGTTATACAGTTTTAAAAAATATTGCACGTCAGTTGTCTGCTACTGGCCTTCGTTATCAAATATAATAATATTTAGATGGGCCTAACCTTTTTTATTCAACATGCTTTTATGATTTTTATAACAATTAGTAGAGTGTGATTATATAAACAGTGGTGATTGACTTTATAAGTGATACCAGTCTATTATATTGTTATGTTTCCATTGTGTAATGCCTTGCACTCACTGCGTCGTACAACCGTCACACGACGAATCCAACTCAGTTCGCTGTGAGCGATTGACGATGCAACACCGTCTGCTGATTGTCGGTAGCTGTCTGAACAGATCGTCATTAAAAATTATCTGTTGCGCGCGTTTCTTATTAAAATCGCGTCGGTCAACGACCGTCATGCCCGGTGAGTGCCTGGCTTAACTAGTTCAAATGGTAACTAAGATCCTAACTGCTTTCTTTTGCGCTCTTTGACCAATAACTAAAGATTAATGCTAATACTGTATATTAAGTTTTTGCACTTTTCAACAAGTATAACTTGTATATTACAGTGCATATCTAGAAAAATTACTAGCAAGAGATTATATTTTAATTATGAATTGATTTTGAAAGTGGACTCATAACGTTTTATTTTTTATATAAAATGTAACTATTTTTGGCTAGGCACTTATTAGAGTGGTCTGTGACCGTTGACTCTAAGTCAGTTTTTAGAAAAATGTCAAGTGTTAGCTAAAGTTTTAACCATGAACTGTATTGAAAGTTAATTACTTTTTGCTATGTTGTATTTCTGAAGAAATAGATTACATAATATATGGTAAAGAACAATATAAAGTAAATGACAGCAGCACTTTATAATATATGGTAAGTAATGTTTAAACAGTTACATTCATTGCTCAGTGAATGATAATGGTATACTATGGTACGTTCATATATAATATATATGATATGCTATGATATATAATATATAATTAAGAATGACTGCAACCTGCCATTGATATATGATATGCTATGATAGACATGATATATGCTATGATGTATATGATATGCTATGATATGATATATATTATAAGCTATGATAGAAATGATATTCTATGATATATATAATAAACTATGATAGATATGATATGCTATGATACAGTATAGTGATATGTAATAGACCAACATCAACCTGCCATAAATGATTATGATATGCTATGATAATATATATGATATAGTATGCTGATATATGATATGCTTTCAATGCATATATCATAACGCCATTAGAACTACTGCATGCAAACATCCATATATATTATTTTCTGTCTCATATTAAACTATTATCCTTGTATGTTGCTATATGACAATAATTCAAAAAAACTATTTGTGGCATGTTGCAGTCTCTTTGAAGTACTTTTTGACGTCATACAATTTTAATTTCTCTATCAAGTAATTAATCTGTGACTTTTATTTGTTTGTTTTTATTCACCTTTTTATTATCTAATTGGGAAACCACATTTTCTATCAGTTTAATCATTATGGTGTAAGGTGCTAGACTGGATAGGGTCAATGTCTATTGCTTGTATTTATATTTTCTTTCATTTGTTGTGTGTTGGATTAAAAACATTGTATCAGCTTATTTTGTTGTGTATTTGTTTTACATGTATTTCTACAAACAAAGGTTTACGGGGTGAGTGGGAGTTGGCAATGGAATGACATGGAACACTCATACAAAGTGTTACAATATATTGCAACAGCATAAAACACGAATTATACCATTATTCTATAATGTAATGCAATGATTATAAATTCTATATCGTGCATTTTCCATACATTTTCTATATACATTTGTATAATTGCATAGCTGAAAAGTTGAAATAAGTGCTCTGGCCAAGTGTCTGTCAGCATATAAGATTATTTTGTTATCACTTCAGATATAGAGCAACCACAATTGCTAGTCATGAGCTTTGAAGTTCAATTAATCATAAACATATGGTACAAAATCTATGAATGCCTCTGTGTCTTACCCACTTGTAACATTGAAGAAAATACAATTACCCAACGTATTGCAAATAATTTTTTTTTTTTTTGTGGAAATTTCACCCACCTTTATTTCTATCTCTTTTTGTTACTTTTTGATTTTTTTTTCTATCATCAGTGACATAAAAATATAAAAATTAAAACTCAATTGCACCTGAAAGGGATCAGTCCTCAATGGCTGACTGTAATTTTTCCAATGCATCTTTTAACTTGTATTAATTTCTAAATAATAAATTAATATGTTTTTTTTCTTTTTAGGACCCAAAAATGCTTATCAAATATTTCAATATACATCACATTCCAAAATTGTACACATGCACATGTGTGTGTATATATACACACACATACACACCCAATACCATATGCATACACATATATTTTTCCCTTAATTTCATGGAAATTCACCCTTTTTGCCTTTTGTTTCCTTAATTGTTATTTAAAGTTTTCTCTTGTGTACAAAACAAAAAGGTAACATATACTGATTTAATATTAATATCATTGATAATATTAATGATATTAATACCATTTCCATCAGATCAATAATAAATATTATAATAATAATCTTTGTGATAATAAAAGTCAAGAACTTTCTTCTAATCATTTTCAAACGTTTTCAAATCATTGTACAAATTTTATATATGCACGTACATACACACATATAGAAGTGGTTGGCGCATCGGTTATGGTTTGGACTCCCAACCTTGAGGTCGGGGGGTTCAAAACTCTCACTGTGCAAGTCGCTTGTGTCATTGGGCAAGGCACTTTATCTATGATTGTCTCTCTCCACCCAGGAGTACAAGTGGGTACCTGGTAGGTTCAAACACAACCTGCGCTGAATACAGCTGCAACATTATGGAATTCCCCCATGGGACAAGTGTGTGTTCCATATGTGCTTGATCCAGTTATCCGGGGGTAATAATGTTCAAGCGCTTCAAGGTTGTGTCAACGTGAGGCGCTACATAAATCCAGAATTTGTATTGTTTTATACAAACAATACAAAGTATTGCAAATAATATAATAAATTAATAATATAAATAATTACGGCCTGCAAGAAAAAGAACGTAGGGCCGCTAAAAATCGCCGGGGTGAATGGGGTATTTTTTTAATAATCTTGTACTTGTAAATAATAATTTTTATAAAAATAATTGGTAATTGATGTAATTTAATTGACAACTTTGTACATATATACATAATTTTATATATGATCCTCCTTTATTTTTATTCTTATTGGTTTATTTATCTTTTATATATATTCAATTTTTTTTTAAATTGAATTGTGAATTTGTTATTGTATTTTTTAAATAATATTTGAATTTTTGTCATTTGTATATTTTTTCTTATTGTAAATTCAGCCTGTCATTTCAGTCTTGTACTGCTGACTGTTTTTTATGTTCTTATACCTGAATAATAGATAAGTAGTAGTGCTCAATGAAGCTTTTGCTATAGTAGCAGGCGCCTCAGGCCTCACCACTGCCTACTTTGACTGTCAGGTCTTACTCCAATTTTAGAACAGGATATTTCATGGTCTTTAGCTGCTTTGGTCTCTAATTCACCTTCCCTAATTGGAAAAAAATCTATCATAGTAAAGGTGTTCAATCAGGACCACAGAAAAGTGGTCTTTAATTGTAGATTGTCTTTATTTGGAGGGGTTTTTATTTAAAATGAGACCTGTATCTTTATTTAAATCGATTTATTAATTTAGGATCAGTAAACAAATAAACGATTCATCATCCATCACATTATTGTGACTTCAAAGACGCCGACACACCACCAGTATACGCAAGGCCTTAGTTACTGTCTTAGATTTGCTCATTAATATTCATGAGTTGCCCAACAACCATCAACAAGATTGTTGTCTGGCTGTCTGCAATGATGGGAGGTGAAGCGGTGATTGTATGAACATGTCGATATGTTAGTTTTAGATTAAATTTCAAATGTCTCTTTATTATTACATTCTCGAATGACTTAACAAGTGATTATGCTGGCATGTGATGTAATATTTATACGCCATGAAAGGTAAATTATACAATATTTCATTGCTTCTTGTCCATCTCAATTGTTCCTGAGTTTGGTCTTGTGGCTAACCCAGGACTAACTTGAGAACGGTCTTATAAAGAACTGGATGCGGCGCAAGGCTAAATAAAGATTGATCTAGGCCAGGGTGAAGTTACCTAGGCCCGGTAAGGATAGTAAGATTAGTAGTCACAACACCATAACAATTAACCAGTCAAGCATTATTATACGTGTACGACCGACAGTGGAATATTTACGATGATTGTTGTAGTAATATAACTGAATAAAAACAATATTTAAAAAAAAAAAATAAATAGTTGTAGGCTTGCACAAACGTTCAATGAGTAGGCCTAATTAAGCTAAGGGAATCATTATCACCTGTTTACCCATTCGACTTTGGATTGACTAAAGTCCTGTAATAATCTATTGCACATTATGAATCTAAATAGATGATGATGATTATAAATTACCTACTTAATAAACAAAATCAATATTTGGTAATGACGGTGTGATGTGTTGACATATTTGTTTTTGTAGTTAAATACTTAACTAGATTAAGAACGTTTAACAAGTTGAGATCCAATTGGCAGTTGCATTCTGCTTTTGGGTTCTTTCTCCCATCCTCAACCTAAGTCCCTTGGCCTGATGTGATAGTGCATATTTCAAAGAACTGTGTTGGGGAATGCATGCATGCATGATATATGTTCAAATCAAAATCAAATCAAATCAACATTTACTCTTCTCTCTCCCATGGCTCTACATCAGGGGTTGGCATAAAAATCGGTCGGAGGGCCAAAGTGAATTTCTGATTTAACACCGAGGGCCGCACCCAAACTTTGATCTTTCCAGTGCGCTTCCAAAAACCTCCAAGCACTGCTTTTACACCACTTTATTCCCAGTTTTAATATTACTTTTTACATAAAAATTATATGATCGGTGTCGGGCCGTAAAAAACAAGGTGTTTTCTAGCTAATGTTGCTTGGCGGGCCGCACACATAGGGTTTTAAATTCACATGCGTGGGCCACAAAATAAAATCGCTGTCGGGCCTCATGCAGCACTTTGCCCACCTGTGCTCTACATGAAAATTTTCTTTCGTCGCCACGTACAGTATGAATCAAGATAGGCTTCAAATGCATGACCATCAAACACATAAAACTAAGAGACTTCAACTAACAACAATCTACACCATGACCATCACTCTACATGGAAATTTTCTTTTGTCACCACTTATGGATCAAGATCAAGTTTATTTCCCTTTTGAAGACAATAAACAGAAAATTCACTTCTTTATAAACAAAAAAGAAAAGAAAAATAATGGTACCAATCAAACTTAAATTCCTGGGGATGAGAAAAGGTGGGTGGGGGGAGGATATATCTTCTGGGGGATAAGCTGTCTGACAGAGGGACTTGAGCTCGTAAGCTGGAGCTGGGAGAAGGGTTTGAGAGGGGTTCTCCCTCCCAAATGAGATTTTTTTAAAGAATAGGAACCTCTGGATGGCCAGAAATGGCACTCTCAGACTGTGACAGACATGTGTTGGCTTGGTGTGGTCCTATTTTTATATTTTTTTGGTCTGATTGCCCGATGAACTCTCACCCGACGGCGGGGCTTTACCTCTCCGGTTGGGGTCTTAACCTCCTTTGACCACACTGACGCCGCCACTGGGACAATTTGGATGAAGTACCTTACTCATATCAATAACACAAACAAGTAATCATGCCTCCAACTCAAACCCACGAGGTTAAGACCAAGCCTTAACATGCTGTTTCACATCCAGTGGAGTGGGGTGCATTCCCCCATCACAAGGATCCCTCCTACAGAGTAAATAAAAAATTACCCTATTATCACCTCATCTCACCATATTCTTTTGTATCCCTACCTTCCACCATACTTACTTGATACTTGATTTTAGTGGGAAAGGATTAGGCCTCAATGGCCTTTAGAACCCCACATAGATCTAGTGTTGCTTACCGAGGAAGCCAGCACAACATCAATATGTCGGGACTCCTCAATATTGTACTTCTGATAGCCGTGAAAGGCGCCTCTTTTCCAAAATTTTCAGATGAGAATATATTATTCAAGGGCTTATATGGTGGGCTTCATGACAACTAATCATAGTATGGAAAGTCAAGATGTTTCCATTTATAGTAGGAAACATGAATACAAGCTTGACAACTAATGTAATTGAATGAATTGTGAATACCCACTGTAACAATAGATTTACCTGTACCTGTACAGTATGTATTACCTTAGCTATTTGTTATGAATTACCTAGGATACAAGATAATAAAGATAAAAGCCAGTGTTAGGTAGTAGGTACTCATGTGTGTTATTATGTGCTTTATCAGCGTGTACTAAAGTCAAGTGGTCCTTATGCTTGTGGTGTTGTTGAGGTAGGCCTACAGTATCTGTTGTAGTGAAGGTCTGTGAGTGAAAAGAATGTTTCAGATTTTCAACAGAATATTCCAATAATGATTGATTTTGGTCTTGAGGATGATTTACACTTTCTAGCATGTAAGTCTGTATGAATTTATCTTTATAGTTAGACCACATTGGTGAGTAAGGTATTTACTTTTCACATGGTTAAATTTAATTTTTTTTATATATACACTGTATATTTAATTTGTACTTTTGTTTATACTTTTCTAGTACTGTTATAAGAATATTCATCATTCAAAGGTACTAATGATGATGTCTCAACAATTTCCCCCCACTGGTCACGGCCATGCGCTACCCTCTGGGATCTGGCAAATGACAACCCTGTCCACTCTCGGATGTTGTCCTCCTGTCTTTTTCTCTGGTTTTTGCAAGGCAGTGTGAATATATTGTATATATCAATGAAGTTGTTATCATTTAGTGAAATTGTTGATGACAATGTATTCTGATTCAGTGGCTTAACGTCAGCACCATTTATATTACTGTATATATCTATATTGTTCAACTTGTTAATGCACAAAATAAATTCATTGCAATGTTTTTATTTGTTTTCTTTTTGTTGATAGCAATTGAAGTGAATAAGGATAATTTTGATTCTCTGTTGGCCTATGATGATCTGTTTGTGGACTATTTTAATGCTTTTCTCCAGCTTCCTGTAAGTTAATGACACAACTACTGTATATTATTAGTGTGTATGGTTGTTTTATTGCAGTTAATTTATAAATACTGTAATAATAATTGTAGATCCTTTTAACATTGCTGTTCGGTATGTTTTCTTAAATCATGAATGTCGCCGCAGATCTTAGGTGGCCCTGCCTTATAACTCAACAAAAATCAACATCTCCTTAACCTATAAGCATATTTAAAGACATTCAATATCTAGGCCCCGCTAGCATTTACTTTTATGTTTATGGTCAACCACCTGTTAGTTGCATATTAATTCATTTATTCTAATTAATTTTTTGTGTTCATTAATTAGTTGCATATAAATTTTTAAATTTTTCCAGGCATTCCCACAACCGTTATATTACAACCGTTTAACTGGAGCATTCCAAGAGGTAGAGGATGTACTTGTTGGGGGATCACTCCAAACTGGGGAGCACCCACCTGCGATGCTTGCTCCCATTGACGAAGAGCTTGAAAGGATCATGGAATGGGCTATTAATGAAAGGTTACCACTTTTTATGAGGTAAAAGATAATTTTAAAAATTAATCCATTTACTGAAATTATGGTTAGTGGTGTGATTTACTGGCTCTATTAGAAAAGCTTGAAGAAGGAGCTGTTGTTGCCTGAATAGTTACCTTATGACCCATAGGACTTGGAGGCAATTTTGAAATTAAACTGATGCCATAATTGAATTATAAATGTTTTTGTTCTTACTATATTAAATGCTTGCAGTACACCATGTATGTACGTGGTATACCAAACATTTAATATATTATCACTTCGTAATTTTATTTTTTTTTAAATTAATATTACAATTTTTATTGTTATTTTTATTGCTGCTGTTGATATTATTATTATTATTACTGTATTATTATTATTATTATTATTATTATTATTATTATTATTATTATTATTATTATTATTATTGTTACTACTATTATTAATATGTTACACCTGTAATGTCTGATTATGTAAGTACTGTAAGGTAAATGCTTTATAGATATGTTAAGAAACTATCTCTTGTTAAACATTTTTTCAATCACAACCATAATTTAGTATCATTAGACCAATGTTGTTTTGTGTTTGATATTTAGATATATTTTTTTATTAAAGTCCTTGCTAAAATAAAACTGCCAGATTAAAAAATACTTGGTAAGAAATGATTAGAGCATGTTTGATATTTTATTTTTTGTGATAGGACAAGACTATTTCTGGAGTACAAACTGTGTAAATTATTGGTACGTCCTCTTGACAACCGTAACAGTGCCATCAGTCGGCAAAGTAGTTACGGACTTCGAGGTTACAGCCGTCAAACGACAAGTTATGCTACATCCAGCTTGATACGAAGTGCAGCACCGAGTTTATACGACAATGAAAGCCATCTCAGCTGGCCTGATCTGGATCAAACTGGTTTGTTCAAGTATCTGCGGCCAGGCAGCAGATGCCAGAGCTTGCCTGCCACATTAGGCCTTGGTATGCTATTCTTGTTTGTACCTCCCTGATTTGTCCATTTTTGACTTATTTTTAAGGTGTTCAGTCTTCTATTTTCAATAGGTATTCGTGTACTCATCTAAAGCTTAATAATTTGTTTTCTTTTCATTAACAAAATGAGGTTTTTTGTTTCTCTAGTTGGTTATTATGGTACATTGTCTTCCGCTTCTGCTGTCAACAAAAACAAAGAAAGCAGCGGAGATAGGCACAGCAGTAATGTGACCCCTAGCAACGAAGTGAAACCATCTCATCTATATAATACCCACAATTCATCAGAATATATTTCTCAAGATCTGATGAATACAAGCTTTGATCATGAAGGCTTTGCCGGCACATCTAACAGTCAGGAGGCAAACACTCCAAGTAAGACATATTTTTAATTCCTAGCCTTTATAAAAAATAACCTAGCTTTAGTTTCCCTGCAATAATGAAAATTTATGATTCTATAAAAATAATGAAAATTTATGATTCTATAAAAAAAAAAATGTTCTGTTCCTCAGATAAAAAGAGTTCACTGAAAAGCCCAGGTTTGAAAGGTGGCATCCTTAAAAAACATGCTACAATCCAGATACCCCGAGAAACCAAGGAACAGGATTCAGATGATGAGGGCAGTTTCTCTCAAGCTATAGATGAAAGGTATGTTGTTTATATGCAATTGTTTTTGAGGCTCTAAGGTGTTCCCCAGGCCCTTGTTAGTACACTACGGCAAATTCCACGTACATTGTTTAATTTTCAATGCGAGTTGCTTTCATACAGGTTTTAATCTGATAATTTTTTTTTGTAATTTACAAATTTTAGATTTACATCAGCCCCTGCAGACAAGGGAGCTACATCACCTCATTATTCAACAATTGGTGAGTTTATCCAAGAGATAATTGAGGACGAGGATGACCAGCCAAGCCTGATAGAATATGAGGAGGATGATTTGATAAATTGTGAAAGAACCGAGTCAGAGCTTCTCCAAATGGTCGGAAAACATTACATGACTTTTCAACAACTCAAAGAAGAGGTACTTGGCGGAGTAAGTTGAGCTTGGTCTATTATAAATAAATGTACAGTATAACGCAGTGCAGCCACTCTCTTTACTTCCTAGTGTAGAAATTAATCAGTCCCTTCTATAAACTACATAAAAGATAGTAACATAGAGAGTAAACATAATAAACGTCAGCTTTATGAATCCATAAATATATAACTGTCTTTTTTTAGCAAATACTTGAATTCATTATTTGAATTGTTTACATTGTATATTTGGTGTTTTATTGCTGTTAGAATGTTAACAGCAGTAATAGTGTTTCTATATTCATTGCACAGACCTTTAAATTGTTGTTATATTATTGTTTGAAGGTTTGCATGGTGAAGTAATAATATATTGAATGCTTGCGGTACGCCATGTAGATGGTTCTGAAAAGAAATGTTTTTTTTTGTTGAGAATGTCTCAACGTTTTGATTGTCTCGAGTGTTGTGCGCAGACTGCTCTCATTTTATAGAACATCAGTTTCTTAGGTTTGAACTTTTATATAATTATAATATTTGTATTTTTATGTTTCCCTTAGAAAGGGGGGAGACGTCCCCAGTGGTTTATTCAAAACTTTTCTGTAAAAACAATGTGGTTCATCATTATTCTACTAGGCAAAGAGACCGTTATCATTTTTCTTTTACTAGACTTACTTTAAAGCAAAAAACTACTTTTACCATGGCCCTGAACTCTGAAAAAAGAAAGAAAAAAAAAGAACTGTTTGCAGCCTTTCTCATTTAATATCTTGATTTTAAATTCAATCAAATTTTAATTTATTGGATAGATGGTTGGCATGGATGAATTTAAGTCATTTCTCATTGGTACCGCTGGTGAGAACTTGCTGAATTTCTGGTTGGACTGTGAACTATATCGTGACAATGTACAGGCATTAGACAACTCAGAAGTGAAGGTCACAAAAAGCAGATTATTTAGGTAAAGATGAGTTTTGTTTAAATTGTAATCTTATTTATTTCCATCCGTCAATAGATCTAAGTTTTTACAAAGAATGAGCCTAAGTCTTATAACTTAAGATAATTATCAGGTTGGCAGTCTGGACACAAAAAAAAACAAAGACACCCTTGCTGGCAGATCAATTTCACATTTGCTCATGACAATAAAGTATATTGTATCTTATATTAGTTTACTCAGCTGTCATCAATACTGTTTTCATGCAAGCTGAGTAACATTTCATTCCATAAAAAACATATAAATATATTGTTGTCATGTGGCAGGATTGCCCTCCATTTACATACAAATAGAAATAATTGAGTAACCACATTTAAAGAAGATTTCTAATGTGGATCAAATCATGTTGTTTCCAGAGATATTCAAGACAAATATAAATTCAAGCTAACCAAAGATGCGAAGGATCAGATAAAGAAGGCGCAGGGAAACGAGGGATTAAGTGAATCTGTTTACACCCGGACACAGTATGACGTGCTCCGCAGGTTGCGGATGTACTGGGTCCCACGCTTTCTTATCCACCAGAAGAGGCTTGGTGATTTTAGGTATGTTTTCTCAAGTTAGGCCACACTCAATCAGATTTTTGACATTCAGATTCAACAATCAAGTGAGCAATATATTGAATACTGTGAGAAAATAAATTAATTCCATCACGATTGGAACCGATGAATAAAACCTTGTCCAGACAATCAAATTTTATTTGCCTGAATATGGTCATAATAACATCACAACATGACCATATACAGGCACATCATGACTATATATGGGCATACAACAGATTTTTGTCGAAGACAATTTTATATTCTTGACAGAGCTTTAAAGCTGATGTTATGTTGCTTTCCAACTGAACTGCACTCATCCTAATATCCTAAAATTTAATAATTCTAATTAAAATTTAAATAATTTTAATTACAATTTAATTTATTCTAATTAAAATAATTCTGATTAAAATTCCAGATTTCAAAGAATTCAGGAGGTGCAAGAGAGAGTGCAAGAGGAGAGGCATCAAAGGTACCAGGTATCATTCCTACCATCAATCTCTCTCGTGAACTCACTCCCAGTGCGTCCTGGATCATGCTATCGTCTTGCCTCCACCGCCAATGATTGGAACATGGTGTCCAAAGCGGGACGGAAAATGCAAGATGAAGTTCAACCGGGCTGTGTTGAGGACCTTTCTCCACGAAGCATGATCCGGCCAATGTCAGCACGTTTTCAAATTGGCTTAGCAAGTGATAGAGAAGCTGGGCGTCCATTTCAACAGTATCTTGAAAGGTGTGTAGCATGGAGGTTACCTGGGATGTGCAGAGAGGAGACATATCCTATAATATTTGTACATTAGCTCCAACCATTGTGGGGCTGAGATGTGTGTGGCCCATCTGTAAGCAAATGATGATGTCTCGGTAATGCTGATACCACCGCTAGAGTAATCCGAATTCTTTTTTTTTTTTATTTTGATATTTGATTTAAGTGGCAGCTATCAAACTAAATCCATTACTTATATTTTGTGTCATTTAGACAAATGGATACTAGACTTTTAGCCAACCTGCTCTTCTTGCAAGATGTCACGGACTACGGAGAAGCCGAAGAGAGGTCAGCTGACCGGTTTCTGCGTATGAGTCGGGCGTGGCACATCTTTAACAAGTACATCATAGATGGTTCAGTGTGGGACATAGGTAAGCATCTCAGTGAAATTCCAGTAAGAGGAAACTCAATTGCAATACACTCTTGTCTTCTACATGTTTAAAGTTTTAGTCTTTTGTATTTTGGTTTTAAATGATGTGAATTTTTTTTTTTGTTTTTTTTATCTTATCTTTGCTTCATACAATTCCTTGGCGCTTTTTTTTTGGATCTTATCTTTGCTTCATACAATTTCTTGGCTTTTGGATCCAATTGGAAATAATTCTCATGTTTAAGACCAGGCTCATTGGGTCTATATTTTTTCTTGCTTTTTATAAATGTAAATTTGTATTTTGAATGCCAAATAAGGCAATAAATACTCACTTGTAACAACATGATGTGAAATTGTCTCCTGAAGACTACCTATTTTATGCATTAAAGTTAATAAGCTTTTATGTGTTTTTTTTTGTCAAAGGGTTACCATGTTTTAAGCGGAATATACTTCATCATCAGCTTCTGACTGCCAGTGATTTTGTTGCTGTGACAGCATTTGAAAAGATTAAAGAAAATGCTATGAAAACATTGCAGAGGGAGTGGCTCCGATATCTCCGCCAGGATTTGAAAACATTTTTAAAGTAAATAACACTTCAATATTTATTTAGAAAATGATTGATCTAAATATTAATTATTATTATATTTTTATATAATTTATCATACTAAATGTAAAAATGTGTACATTTTAAATATTTTTCAGATGTAGAGCTAGGATAGAAGACGTCATCACCGTCTCTCGTAGTCATAGTCAAGCTTCTGTAGGCTCCCCTGTGGGTGGGGTTACAGAAAAAAAACATTTAAAATCAATCAAAAATCAACAAGGAAGACACTACAAATCAACCAGGTGACTAATAATGAGAAAATAATTATCATTTTAAACACATTATTATTTGTATTAATTGGGTATTAATAATGGTCATAATAACCAAATGGTTCTATAATTAAATGAATCAAAATGTCTTTGTTACAAATTCCCATATAATAATTTTACTAAGTAAACCAACTATTTATAATGTACTGTGGCATTTTGGTTTGTTATGTTGTTCATATATTTTATTTAATTATAAAGAGAACAGTATGTCTGGCATTTCTAGTTGTTGATGGCTCATCAGTCCTGAAATGGCTGGTAGAGGGCAGCAAACTATATATATAGAGCCTCAAAAACAGCTGAGAAACGTAGACATTATCTAAAGATTTCTTGCTCATGACCAGTATATCACATAAATATAATTGTTATATTTATAAGAATATTTTGCAAATCTAAATGAAATTCTTTGAACCCACTTGTTGAAGTGTTAACTTAGTTTCACTAATGCAACATATCTACTAGTGTAACTTGTACCTATAGACCTGTCATTTAGTAATAGAACTTTCTTTTTTTTATAATCTTTCTGCTCTTCCCTTGTATTCCTTGTATTAGTCTGAGAGACATGGACATTTTGGAGGATTCCGAGGAGTCAGAACCTGACACCAGGTGACCTACCCATCATACTTTGCTTGTCATACAATCTTGTTTTTTTAACATGCCTGTACTTTACGTGCTTATATCTACCAGTTTTAGTTCTTTTATAGATGTGTAATGTAATAATAATAATATCTTCATTTTCTCAAAATTTATAACATCATACAAAAAGAGAAAGAGGAGGGGGAGAACAAAGAGGGATCAAGCTTCTATACTTGAGATTTTGGCTGCCCAGACATGTAATATAGTAATAATGATTGCATTGTCTGTTTTCTGTTATTCCATTTTTTAAAATTATTTATCATTTATTACAATTCCATGCAATCTTGTGATTTATTTTTGACATGCCTAGATTTATGTTATGTGGTCATATCTAAAATATTTATTCAATGTATATAATTTCCTTTTTATGTATATGGTGATGTTTCTCAATACCTTTTTTAATATTATATGATTTATTTCTAGTTTAATTTTCTCTCCATAAACCTTTCAACTTCAAGGGCTACCAAAATAAAAACGAAAAGCAAGAAGGAATTAAGTCCAGAAGAGAAGAAGAAGGCTGCAGAAAAGAAAAAGAAGCAATTAGCGGAACAGAAGAAATTACTAAGAAAGGTGAAACAAAGGGAGGCAAACCAGAAGAAAAAATCAACTCATGACTTGAAAGGAAGTGTAAAATTCAAGACACCTCAAGATGAAAAGAAGGAAAAAGACAATAAAGCGGAGGAAGAATTGAAAAGAACACCGGAGGAGTTAACGAGAAACGTAACATTTAAGAAAGTTAATAGGAACAGATCGTAAGTAGAATGAGGACATGGGCGTAGGCTGGGGGGGGGGGTTAATTCCTGTCTCTTATACACAGTTAAGGGGGTACAGATACACATCCCCTTCCCCACATTGCAGCAAATTAGTTGTTTTCATTGGAATGGCCATTCTAAATTTTCACACCAGTTCCACATTCTCAAATTTTGTACTCCCAAAATGAAACTAGCTTACGCCTCTGGAGTATAGGTATGGCAATGTGGAAAACTCCTTCTAATGCCCTTCCTTTTTCCAAGTATCTTTATAAATTTTTAATTTTTTTTTTCTCAAAGGTTAATGAACTTATTCAAGTCATATTTACAAGATGCTGAAAGTCGTGAGAGGGTTAATGAATGCAACATGTACATTGATGTAGACGTCTATATAAGAATTCCAGATTCTCACGGGGACAAAAAGATAAGCCAAGGGAAGATGATAATGTCCAACTACTTTGACCCTTCCTCTAAAAGGTCAGAATAAATATTTTATCTGTTTTTTCATTTTAGTTTTCATTTATCGTTATTACATTTTCTAATGTGATACTTTTTATGCTCTTTACAACATTATCATATTTTCTGTTCGGAAATATTTTTGGTTTGCCAATCATTATATTGGCATGATGATGTCATATCACAATCATATATGGACAAATCTCTGGTTATTTGTTACATAAAACTCTATATTGTGAACAAAGGTTAAATATCAAAATTAGTGTTTTTAATTAATTCTTAATCTATTTTTATGTACTTCAACTTTACTCTAAAAAAAAAAAAATTAGTGTTTTTAATTATGTTCTTATATTTTTTTTCCCATTTTTATAATTTTCCATTCTGCATGTACTTGTAATTGTTGTATGTACACATTCACACAATATATTGTTTTACATTCAGCAATAAGTTAAACTCACCATTTACAAGATAAAAAGTTAATATTCCATCATCTTTTAGGTTTGTTGAACTTTCTCAAGATGTTATGACCAAGCTATCATCTGAAGGTAATAAACCCACAGCAAAAACATTGGAGCTTGCCCAGAAAGCTGTTGCACAAAAACTTGAAGATAGTTTCACTGTTTTTTGGAGTGTAAGTCAATTTTAATGCAATAGCCTCTGTGCCTTGCAGTATCCCTGTTTTTATATATTTTGTGTCATTGTATGAAAAAATGAGGAGGTAGTTTCCACCAAAACATATGGCCATCCACCATGCATATGGCACAGTATTCAAATCTACATGGCATAGTACTACATTGCACGACTACTATAGCACTACATGACACATTAGTACCCTTTAGTAAGTGTTTACTTGTCGTGACTGATTCTAGTTTACTACATTTTTCATACACACTACAGTATGTCACAGTACGTAGTTCAATGACTCGGTATCTACTACTTTAGTATATGCCTCACTATTTACCTTGAAATTGTAGACAACATGATGATCATCAGGTCCCATGTATCAGTGGTTTATCATAGGTCCTCATTTCTCATTTGCATTTTTTCATTTTAAAATCATTCCACTCATTTCTAGGCTCATGTTGAGTCTCTGGAGGAGCAGGGGGTTGTGATTGGTGGTGACCTGTCCAAGGCAGACTTGGCCTTAAGGTCAGATAGCTCGCAGAGCATGATGATGGCCTGGAAGAAAAAACGAAGACAGGGTAAAGGCACTGTAAGTATGACTGAATGAACACTGACACATTTTAATATCCCCTCTAATTCCTGCTCCAAGTCACTTGATTAAAAGTTGCTTGATTGATTTAGTTGACTCATTGGTGATGTGATGCAAAATCATTTGTGGTTTATCATTAAATCATTTGCACTTAAAACTCATTGAAAACTGAAGAAATTAATGTAAGTGCATTCATATATTTTGATTTGGTTTTTATTATTTATAAAAGGGAACTTAGTTTTCAAATCCTCATCAATTTTAAGAAGTCGCATTGATTGATTGATCAACTACATTGCTGCCAACTGATAAGACTGCGGAACACCAATGGTCTAAGTTAACAGGTCTCAAATTATGCATTATTGTACCCTCCAAAGAGGTTGCTTCTTCTAGTCGCATTCTCCAAATATGTTATAGTTTCAGTTTATTTATTTGACCTAAAGATGGTCGGGGGCAGCTTAAGCATACAAATCACTATAACTTTTTCAAGCCAGCTGCCCCCTAATAATAATAAATATATAAATAATATACATATTAAAATGCTGTATTTTCTTCACAACCAGCAATCTGGTCAACATATGCCATCCACTCAGGACAAGAATGAGTTCATGGCATTCCTTCTGCAATTATCCCGTGGGGTGCCGCCTGTCAAGATGATGCATTTTCATCGGTATCTCATAGTGCACGGTGAGAAGGATGGATTCCCAATGATGGCAAATGATTTGCGCTTCTACATGGAGGCACAACGGTTTAAAGATGCGCATAATGGGGACACGGAGCTCTCATTATTGAAGAAAAAGGTTGAAGTTATTCAGGACTGCTTCTTTGATTCTGCCACTGGAAGCTCTGGTGTTCAGGTAGCTACACTTTTGTTTGTAGAGTTGTAGCATGAAAGCTCATACTCCAAACCCAATTTTCGGGGTACATGTGTAGTCAGTCATAGGGATAATTATTCAATATTTAATTATTTTCAAAGGCAATCGGGGAGTAGCCTTCTTTCGGCCTGGTGGCGTATAAAAATTAAAATTACGGGACTAAATCTTTATCTCAATGAAAACTTAAAGGTCATTTTCAATATTTTAACCCACATCGTGGAACTAATTTGTTTCCATGGGGTTCTGATGCCCAGCCTACGCCCACATGACAATATGTCGATAAAATTCACAACATTGCATTTCAGATTGATGTGAGCCCTGAACTAGCAGCCAAAGTACTTCGTCTGATCGAAAGTTTTCTGAAGGATCGTGGTAAAGATCCTCATCCAGCTAATTTATTTGAGGAGTGCCAACACTCCATCTTCAAGGAGCTGCTACCTTACTGGGCGGGCTTTAGTAGACGTTATACCAGCACTCATTTTAAAGACAGAATACCATGTAAGATTTAAATTGTTTTAATTTTTTAATTAATTCTGGTTACAAGGGGATGGGATTCAGGATGTTCCTGCTGACGAAGTGGGGTACAAAGCACCAATCAAGGACTTTTGGTTTAAGAGAAAGTGTCCCCTGAAATGTATATTATTCCTTGAATACTGCACAAAACAAATCAACTTACACCTGTTATATTTTTGCTTGGACACTCCTTATATATAATAGAACTGTCACACATACCTGTACCTATATTTTTCAAAATTAAATTTTACACAGTAATTTAAAATCAAGTCATTTAATTACTGTTTTATCGCTGTTGTAAATATTTCAGCAACCAAAGTTGAACGTTTATCCCGGGAGCGACTGAGGAAGTACATTGAAATGGAAGAGCCACAGAAAGAGTTCTGCTTGCCAGCCATTGCAGCGCCACAAAGCCGGAGTGGTGGGACTTGTATATCATTTACAATCAGTGACGGCATCCAGTGGAAGGTAAGCCTAGTTGGCAGTGATTCTTAAACAATGGCAATATTATCATTTTTACTGCAGTGCTTCATGGGTGGAAATTGTCATCTGTCGATGTACGCTTATCTTTTCCAATGATGGATCCAGGAATTCAAAATAGAGGGCCCACTAGGGACTAGATAAGAAAATTTATGATTATGGCACTCTCAGAATTAAATTTAGATATAGTTTTCTTCTTTTTTTTTCATATTTATAATTTTGACAAATTTAGGGGGGGGGGGGGTGTCCTGGGGCGGCTGAGCTTTCTCTTGAATCCGCCACTGTCCTGGCTTGAAATAATAAAGTTGAATAGCATTCAATATTTTAATATTTTTGGAAGTCATTGATTGAACATTAAAAAGTTGAAAAATTGCCCATAACTTTATTGGTAACTTTATTTGAAGTTGGTAACTTTATTTGATTCTTTTAACAATTTAAATCTTTAATTTAAATTTTGAGAGGCTCAGTTCAGTTCAATTCCAATAAAAAAATTTTCTTCATAAAAAGTAAACAGTAACAATAGAAACAATTCAATGGATAATTGAAGAGGGCAAATTACATGTTCTGAATACAGAAAGATTAATGATAATAATAATAGCCAAGAAAGCAAATGCTTGTGCAGCAAGCCCAAAAACAAATAGTAATAATTCAATTTGAAAAAAGTATTAAAAACAATAACAATTGTAAGATTTATCAGATATTTTCCTGTACGCTCTTACCATTAACTTTGTATCTCAACAGACTTTTGACTATGGGGATGCCATTAGCTCACACGACGACAACGCTTCCCCCAACCTCAGTCGCCGTGGAAGTTCTTTAGATTCCCAAACTGCCTCTGTGATCAATGAGAAACAAGGTCGTAGGAGTACAATCCGGAAGAGTAGTAATCTTGGAAGTACCATGGGTGACATCAAACAGAGACTTGGTGGTACACCAAAAGTGAATGTTTTATCTCAAAGCTGATGAATTGTATTATTGAAAAGAGCTTCTTGAGTATGAGAGAGAGGGGTGGAATTTGTAACACAGAATAATCTGTTTATTTTGTATATATATATAGGGTAGGGAGGAACCTAGTTTAGAAGGCTGTGGGTACAGTTGAGTTGAGTGGATGTCGTGGGTTAAAATGAGGCTGTGGGTGAGAAGGATGGAAACTTAGTTATGAGGCTGTGGGTTTGTGTAGGGAATATACCCTGTGGGTACTGTGGTTTATGTTGAGGCTGTTGGTTCAGGTAGGGTGGAACTGTTGGTTAAGATGAGGCCTGGGTGTTTTGTGGGTACTGTGGTTTATGTTGAGGCTGTTGGTTCAGGTAGGGTGGAACTGTTGGTTAAGACGAGGCCTGGGTGTTTTTGTGGGTATTGGTTTATGTTGTGTGGAACTGTGGTTCAGGATGAGGCTGTGGGTTTGGGTACAGTGGGGCAAGATAAGGCTGATGGGTTTGTGTAGGGTGTACATTGTACTGTAGATATAAGTTTGTGGGTTAAGGTGGGCTGTGGGTTTCAGAGTGCAAGTTGTTGGTCTTGGCAGTGTAAGAATGGGTTCTGAGTACAGTAGTTTTGCTCCTTGTGTTTACTAAATAATTATGTTCTTTTATTTGTTTAATCAAACATTAGTGAAGTATGGTTTATAATATGTCTTCCTGTTCGATGAATCAGTCTCACATTTCTTAGTAAATTACGTGATTGTGGATGTATTATTTTAAAATCAAAACTTCCAGATTTTCTTACTCCTTATTCAGTCAACCAGTTGCTATGACATCAGTGTGTGCACAAGATCCAAATAATTTAATATTATCTTAGCTTCCCTCTAACCCAGTACTTACAAATAATAGTGTATTTCTCTATTAAACCATGTAAATATATATATGGTTTTAACTATAGCTGAATGTATAAAAAAAAATTTAAGTGCAATTGTTCATACCAAATGTTATTTATGCTGAACCAATTTGATTATACTAAGTGTGTGCTTCTATTGGAATCATGTGACATATGACATCATCAAAGATTAATTGCTGTGCTTGTCAATAGATTATAGTAAATTAATGTATTAAATTAATTGTTTTTCCCATAAAAAGGAATACTATTAAAATAAGACATCTAACTTTTGTTATTCTGTCCATGTTTTTTGTTGATATTTGGGTACAACACAACATCCAATATTTCAATGCCTGATGCTATAAAGCATCCAATTGCACATCAAGGTACTGTACTGAGACTACATCATTCCATGATTTAAACCCATCATACTGCTACATCATGATTAATGATACATCAGTAGTGCAGCGTTCAATGCCACAACAACTAATGCTACAACAGCTTCCAGCCAACAACACCTGATGCTACAGCATCAGATGTTGTAACACATGAAGCTACAATATCCTGACCAATGCTACAATATCCAATGCTCAAACACCGAATGCTACACCATCCAGTTCTCCAACACTGGATGCTACACCATCCGATGCTACAAAACCCAGTAGTTTATGTACAACATAACTCTGCAGCACCCGATATCAAATGCTACAACATTGGAAAGAGCTCATCATCCAAATATTTCCAAATGACTTCCGTAACAAACTCTCTTGCACTGTCACCAGAGGTTAAGTGTCTGACAGCCTCTTGTTGCAGGTGGGTCACATGAAGGTCAGAGGTTACATGGTAAATCAAGCCACTGTGAAATGAATGGCCATTCCTACAGGGTAACAAAGAAAAAAAAAAAAATTCATGACAAAAGTACAAGAAAGCTCTTATAAATGATAATCATCAGGATGTCTGATGTATGCGATCATGATTATGTGACTTGCCAAGTTCAAATAAATATCCCACCTATTATGCAAGAATTGAACATTGACACAGAACCCCCTGTATCGGGTTGAAAAAGACAACATCTCTACACCATTATCTGCATTTGGTTCATCTTGATATCTTGCATTGTAGAACAGTCTACTGGATAAATATTCCCCTGTGAATCAATTGATCATTGGATTTAGTCAGGTACGCAGAGCACATCACCAGACAAAACAATATTTTCGAAATGACTGGCATTATGTGAAGTAAATGTAAAGCTGGGCTTGCATCACCCTTGCAACTCGACTTAACTCGCATCAACTGACCTTTGGCAACTTGCCAGCAACTGGCAAACAACTGAGAGTCGCACGAGTGAAAGTCAACATGAGCGCCACTGGCAACTAGTTGACTGTCAGTTGCTATCAGTTGAATTCTGACCACTTGTTTGTGTCCTTCAGCATGGCATTTTTTTACCCAGGAGTATAAGTGGGTATACATACATTTGAATACCAATGCATTGTTGATTGGTCAGAATTTATTTTTTGTTTTGATACTCATATTCTATTTGTTGATTACTAGCTGCAACTTTATGAAGAGAGCTGAGTATGCGCTCAATGATAATGTGCAGACTTAACTGGCATCATCAGTATTTGTGCTTCTGACATTATCATGCCAGTGGTGGTTAGGGAAGTGGTTAATGGGTGGCAATAGTGCTGGTGTTGTTGTTGCTGCTGCTGTTGATGATGATGATGATGATGATGATGAAGTCGAAAGATGATGATGATGATGATGATGATGATGAAGTCGAATGATGATGATGAATTTGATGATATTGCAATACAGACATTGCAATTAACAATGTGACGCAATATAGATGAAGCATTTTAATTCCCACCATCAACATCTGCATCATTCTCTTTCATCTGCATTTCTGTCCACCATTTCACCAGTGTATTGGTAGGTGCATCATCAGTCTTTACTATCTGATGCTGGTCTGAGAAAAAAAGAATGAAATTTTTTTTTTGTTATTCAAAAGTATATATCACAAGGGAGCACTTACAGTGAAGTTAAAAAGGCCCTGCATACAAATATATATACAGTATATATAAATATAAAAATACTATAAGAAAAATATTAAATCTCTATAATTTACATCAGCATAACAATCAATCAAATATAACATATTAAAATGCAATAAACAACTATGTTCCCATGCCCACTACATACTGTAATTATTGCAAAGGGAATGCAAGTAGGTTAAATGAATCAAATTATTGAAAAATCTATTTGTTTGTTGCTTTGGGATGCATTGCCTTGTCCTAAATCCTACCAAGCATCAAGAGCATGACTTTGTAATATTCTGGAGTTTTACTCTGATACAACTTACGTTTTTTCTTAAGAATACGTTTTTTCTCAATATGGGCTTTCTGAATGAATGTTTGCTCATCAAGTTCCAAAACTAACAGCTTCTGTTTATATATTTCTTGCAACAGAGGGTATGCTTGATCAAATCTAGAGAGAAATGTAAAAATATGGTATACCATATCACTGTAATTTCAATGGTTTAATAGTAAATTTTATCACCTAGATACGCCAATGGCACTGGTATTGAAATGACAGCCCTTATAACTTAATAACTTACACTTTCTTTGAGTTTTCACTAAGCTGGTTTCTAGCAGTTGACACACTGCTGGCAACATCAACTTCCAACATCTTCTCCTTTAACATTACTTCTTTGGATTCTTGAAGACATCGCTCTATATCTTTAAACTAAAACGTAAAAGAATTAGAGAAATACTTCACATTTTGTATCTTCTTCATACGGTAGAAAAATTAAAAAGCCCTGGCCGACAAGCTACAAATACAAGCACACATGTTACAAGCAAATCCATGTGACATATCATGGGATGTAACACATTCTCTACTAAATTAACCTACCTTTTTCAAATTGTTTCTGAGAGCACTAAGAGAATCTTCTAACTTCTTTATTAATGGTTCTGTCATGTTTTGGGTGTCTAAGCCCAGGCCTAGCTTACTCCGACGCTCCAATAGTCGGTGCTCCAACCAAAGAGTACAGGCTGCAAAACTGAATTCTTTCTAGCGCCCTCTTTTTTGAGCCTTAACTTATCTATCCAGTTGTGTGGGGTTGTGGTGTTGACGCTGCGATGATGCGCTGCATTATCGTCGTATTTGTTACAGTGCCCGGCCTAACCTAGGCTGGTAAATTATGCTTAAGAGTTATTGAACATAAAACGAAAGACATGCCTAGCAAAAAGAAGAAATATAATGCCCGTTTTCCTCCCGTAAGTTACCCATTTTAATGATAGAGTCAGGCAAAACGAAGCCGCCTAGGTTGGGCCTAGGCCTAGCTATGGTTGGAGGTAGCTAGCTAGCCTGGTCTAGGCCTAGGCCGATTACTAAAGCCTATGGGCACTAGACTATTCACTGTAAGTCAATTAGTCATGGGCCTAGCTAGGCTCAGGATATTATAATTGAATATTATTATTATATATTGGGCTAGCTGCCTAGGCCTAGCTAGGCTAATCATAATGTTATGAAGAATCTGTATTTTAATGCAGAGGACATTCCCTGTGTGTATTGATGGAACGCACTCCCTATTATAGTATTAATTGTTAATATTTTTTTTAAATTTCAAACAATTGTCCAACAGGAATGCTTTGTTCCCACTTACAGGCGAAAATTGCGAAAAATAAACATCAAAATAAATATAATATTACAAGGTATAAAAACATTTTAAAAATTATTATTGTCATACTGTACGTATATAAATTTAAATTACAATTAAGATATACACTCAGAATATTTACAAGTTTACACTCAGAAAACACACAACACTAACAATAAATATAATTATTATTTAAGTTACATTTAAACAGTTTTTAAAGAATTAGAAAACGATCAACTTCAGGGCTTTTTGCAACAAAGTCATATACAAACTAGATAATACATGTACACAACAAAACGGAACAGAAACTTAATAAATCATGTTGATGAAGACTGTGATTGGGAACTTTAAACAAAAAATAGGAGATAAGTTTACAATCAAACAAGATAACACATTTGAACAGAAACAAAAGGTCAAAGTGCATACGTTTAAATGGCGGGCATGTAATGTTTTTAACTCTTTATTGAGTTATTACGACGAGGACCAAATGTTTAAGGACTAACAAAGTGCAAGAACCTAAAAGTGTATGCCTGTAAATTCATTTAAAGTTACTTTTAGAAATTGAATTAAAGATGACAGAACAGGTATATAAAGATGGTCTAACAAGTGTAAGATAAAGAAAGCATTTACAGTAGTAGGAATATTAAACGATTTGCAATTGCGCCACATCATTCTCAAGACTCTGTTGGCCCTCGCCATAATAAATGGCCTAGGAATGCCATTTCCATTAGTTATTTTTCTTTGAGTATGGTAACAAAGGCCTAGAACTACTATGTTAATGTAACATAGAAAAAAATTACCTATGGTGGTAGTAGTAGTAGTAGGCTGTTGACTTAATAAATAGGATCCTACAGTATACAGGTTTGTTTCATTTTCAGGCAAGAATAAAGAAGATCATGCAGACTGATGAAGATATAGGCAAAGTTTCACAAGCTGTTCCAGTTTTAATATGTATCCTTTTAGTTCATTATTTAATGTAAACCTAGAGACATATTTTCTAATGGATTTAATACAGGGGTGGGCATAAAAATGTGTCAGAGGACCAACATAAATCTTTGATTTAACACTGAGGGCCATACCCAAACTCTGATGTTTCCAGTGCTTTTACAGTAATATTTATACCACTTATTCTCAGTTTTAATGTTACTTTTTACAGGTGATCGGGCCATAAAAAACAAGGTTAGCAAAAGATAATTCAATTCAATTTTTGCAACAAAGTCATATACAAACTAGATAATACATGTACACAACAAAACGGAACAGAAACTTAATAAATCATGTTGATGAAGACTGTGACTGGGAACTTTAAACAAAAAATAGGAGATAAGTTTACAATCAAACAAGATAACACATTTGAACAGAAACAAAAGGTCAAAGTGCATACGTTTAAATGGCGGGCATGTAATGTTTTTAACTCTTTATTGAGTTATTACGACGAGGACCAAATGTTTAAGGACTAACAAAGTGCAAGAACCTAAAAGTGTATGCCTGTAAATTCATTTAAAGTTACTTTTAGAAATTGAATTAAAGATGACAGAACAGGTATATAAAGATGGTCTAACAAGTGTAAGATAAAGAAAGCATTTACAGTAGTAGGAATATTAAACGATTTGCAATTGCGCCACATCATTCTCAAGACTCTGTTGGCCCTCGCCATAATAAATGGCCTAGGAATGCCATTTCCATTAGTTATTTTTCTTTGAGTATGGTAACAAAGGCCTAGAACTACTATGTTAATGTAACATAGAAAAAAATTACCTATGGTGGTAGTAGTAGTAGTAGGCTGTTGACTTAATAAATAGGATCCTACAGTATACAGGTTTGTTTCATTTTCAGGCAAGAATAAAGAAGATCATGCAGACTGATGAAGATATAGGCAAAGTTTCACAAGCTGTTCCAGTTTTAATATGTATCCTTTTTAGTTCATTATTTAATGTAAACCTAGACACATATTTTCTAATGGATTTAATACAGGGGTGGGCATAAAAATGGGTCAGAGGACCAACATAAATCTTCGATTTAACACTGAGGGCCATACCTAAACTCTGATGTTTCCAGTGCTTTTACAGTAATATTTATACCACTTATTCTCAGTTTTAATGTTACTTTTTACAGGTGATTGGGCCATAAAAAACAAGGTTAGCAAAAGATAATTGACAGGTAGCACACAGATTTTTAAAAATTAATTTTCCCGGGCCTCAAAAAATCATGTGGGCTACACATTGTCCACCTGTGATTTAATATATGCATGGTGTGTTTTCTGCAACCATGTCTCTACATGCTGAATGTTCAGCAAATCACAATATACCTTATATCACCAGGATCTTCTTGTTCAAATACAAAATTCGTGCAGCTCAGTCCAAAATTTTATTTTCAAAATGACTTTTGGGTAGAATAAACAAGGATTTATCAGGGGCCCGATGTCTCCCAGAAGTTATTTCCACAAAGCGGTAACCAAAGAACAACTTGTGAATGAGTATAACATCATCTGAATACTGAATATTTTTTTAACCAAATCAAGTAATGATTATCTATCATATTTTTCTTAATTTAATTAATAGCAAAAGCACTAGAAATATTTTTAGAAGCTTTAGTGATGAAGGCACATGAGAAAACGAAGGCTCGCAACGCTAAGACCATGACTAAATCACATATGTGAGTAGGCATACTGTTTATAAAATATCTTTTATTATAAAATTACTATAATTATCATATTTATAACTTTAGTTATACAGTTATTTTATCTTTAAATTTGTTTTTATATTTATTCGCATTGTACTTTGTGCTCTCTCTTTCATTGTTGTTGTTTTATTTATGGACGAAAATAAATGTCTTTTGAATTGAATTGAATTGAATACAGTGTATTTTTTAGGTGGAGAGAAAACATGACGTGAATATAAGTCAGTTACTCTGTTGTTTGTTTTTTATTTAGAAAACAGTGCATAGAAAATGAAAACAAGTTTGATTTCTTGAAAGATTTAGTTGAAAATGTTCCAGACATGCCATGTGAAGAGGAAGACACAAATAGTAATGAAACGAATCTACAGGAACCAAAACAAACACAATCAAGGTACGATTGCATTATTTCACTCTACCTGGCCTCTCTCAATTTTAAATTCCTTTAATTATGTTTTAGCCATATCATACTTTTCCCATTAAACATGCCTTCCTCAAACTTCCTTGATATTAATTCCTCACAGTAAAATTGGGGCGTTGTTTTATAACCATAATATTTCCTCTTCCTTTTCCTCTATGATGATTGCACTTTTTATTAGTTTAATCATCATCGTGATTCTGTCTGTTATTTTCCTTTGAAATACCATATTGGACAACATCACTAGTCTTTCTGGGAGGGGGAAGTTGGATAAACCCTCACACATTCCCACAAGGTCTAAACGTTCTAGTTAGTTTATATGATCTTAAACTAAGAATATGTATGTATAACCTCATACTTACACAGACTTTATTTTTGTTAGTCTCCATTTTCAACTACATTTCATTATGTTGTGACCATATCATACATTAAACATGCCTTCCTCATACAGGGAACTAGGGTCATTGGAGTTACCCAAATCTGATGGTGTCATACCTGCCATCATGAACACAATCAACTGACAGTCAATCCACACTTGTGAGTAGGAACACCCAGCCTAGCTATCTAGAAGTCATGGCGCAATCCGATGGAGAAAAATAATTAGTACCAGTTCTTAAGCCGCAGACGACTGGCCCTAAAGTTCCATTTTGGAGGTGATAAAACCTAATTTTATTCTCAACCCCAACCATGGTGGGACTGAGGTGTGTGGCCCATCTGTTGGAGAATAATGAACCTCCTGCTATAAAAGTATTAAGTAGTGGAAGTACAGTAAGTTCTGGAAGTAAGTTTAGTTTATGTAATTTTAAATATTACTTATACAGACTTGTTGATTTCTGTATTTTTCAGGAGGGGTCGGCCGCCCAAGAGGCCCCTGACCGATGCGAGTGCAAGTTCAAGTAAAAACCCCCGTCAATCTTCTGAGGAAGCGTCATTTTCTGATGTAAGTGTTTTGTTCTGCTCAGTGGTTTCGGTACAAATAATAATAATAATAATATTTTGAAATGTTGACCTCTATAAATAAATAGTTTGAATGTCGATGAGAAACAAAAATACACCGTCCTTAGGTCAAGATGCCCTGTATGAGCGTCTAGCCCTGCAGTTTATTATTTTAACAATTTTCTCATTGGTGTGGGGACATCTTCCTCCCAAACCCTCCTCCCGGCTCAGGCCTACAACCCTTGGATTGTGCTACCCGCTAAAGTAAATCTTTTGCCCTGTCTGTCAGGGTCCTAGCGCCGCCACTGGTTTTGCTCATTACAAGAGTATTAACGAAACAATAATTATTTGGCCCTTGCAGAGGTCTAAATAATTCGAAGCAACTCCTTTTTATTGATTTTTTTATGTTCAAATGTTTTGTCCCCAATTTTCTTAAAGGATGATTCTGATGATTCAGGAGAGGAGACAGCAACAAGTGAAAGCCACATGAATCTAGTACAAAATACAAGATTAAAGTAAGTATACCTACACCTTAATGAAATCAATATCAAATACTACTAAAAAGAAAAAAAAAACCATTGTCAATGAAACAAGTCAAATTTGACCATTGTAATAATAATAATCTACAAATACAATGTACAAAGCAAAGTACAAACATTAGATAATTATAGTTAAGTTAGTAAGTAGGGGACCTGGTTAAGGGTTAACAATCCAGGAGTATAATTCATAGGCCCAGTGTACACATTAGACTTATGCACACATTTTAAACCTCAGGACAGTACATCATTCAGCAGTGGTGTACAGGCGCGATCTGGTACTTGTGTACTAGATAGCACAGACAGGATGTGACCCTTGGGGGTACAGGAAATTACTAGTATTGGTGCTAAACAAATATCCACCGATATATTTTTATGGATAATTGATCCAGCTGGATTGTGATCACTCACTGACCACCATTTGCATATCGCTATATAATTTGTATTTATATTGTTTTACTCTGCCTTATCAATTAATAACAAATTTTCCTTTTCTGTTTTACAGAGGGTCAACGGAGGTCAAAGCAATACCATCTGCAAACATGTTCCAGGCTGTCTCAAGCACCAGCTGCAGTGTTGGAGATAATTCCCTAGCGATGGGATTCTACCAAGCACCTCAGACCCTCCAGCAAAATAGTAATGATGATGAAGACTATGATTGCTAGCACCCTAAATTAAAATGCAATTTTTTTTATATACAATATAATATAATATTATTATACATTTTATTTTTGGTTGATTTAACATGGTGTCCTTAAAACCGACTTCAGTCGTTGTTACATCATTTCATATTCATAAACCAACTTTGAAAAAGATCACAACTAAGACATGCAACCTTGACTAAAGCTACGTTAACATCAAGCCCGGATCCCGGAAAATTGTAAGTTGCTACGTTTTTTGAACGCTGCATTCACATGGCGCACGGAACACCGTTATTTGGGTTAAGAACGTATGCGTTTGATTAATTCGAAGCTTGTTGCTGATTGCTTCAACGAAAAACAACGTACAATTTCACGATACAAAGGCTCTCAGATCCATCGCTCCAGATCCGAAGTTGGAATTGGAAGTCGTATGAATTTGATGTGAACGGTCCTATTCTTTACCACTAAACCCATTTTTCACGATTTTTTGTCCGGGCACCGGAGCGGATCCGGGATTTGAACATAACTTAAAATTGATATCTACTCAGGCTGATTTTTCAGATCTGATCTAGGGCAGGCTAAATCACCATAAAACAAATAACAATTTTTCAATGTCTTTTTGGATTTGACTTAGGCAAGTTCAACTGTACTAGTATTTACTACTAGACAAAATTAAAATAAGTGGTTTGTGGTCTAGTATGAATTATGAAGAAAAATATTTTTAAATAACAGTCAAGATTATTATTCATCTGCTTGACTGAATCTTTAAAATATTTTCTGCTTTTTAAATGATCTCTTGTCAGCGGTCTTCAACCGAACTTGGTTTAGTCAATGCTAATTTCTACATATTGTAGTTTATGAACATGAATTGCAAGTTCAACAATTGCTTGTTGAATCCTATTTTGAACTAAGACTAAAATCTTTTTTGAGAATGCAGGCATTTTTTCCTGCAGTAAATATGTACAGTATAGGGAGACTTGAAATAACACAGGTTTTGATTTATAGAATCATTTGTAAAATTTGGTTTTCTCCATTTAAAATGTAAGAATTCGATAATTTTTCTCATCTAATTTCTCTCCACAATCAAACAAAGCCTGTTTGACAAACTTTCTAATACCCTGGGTTGATCGTTCCTATTGAATGTCTAAAAACTTATTCTTATTTCCAAGAGTCACATGACCAATAATTGGGATTACATTGTGAATGGAATAGTGAGCATGCTCAATATAAAAAAAATGATAGGTATCTTTAGTTCTGTCCAGACTATCAAATTTTTGAAAGAAACGTGGACCTAATTATGGTCGACATCATGACCATATATAGGCACATCATGACTATATATGGGCACATCATGACTATATATGGGCCATCATCAGTTTTTTGTCAAAGATAATCATTAGTGTTGAATAATGGTGGTTCAAACTCTTTTTGGAAATCAAACTTTAGAACAAATGTTTTGCTAATGCTCCGATGCAACTGCTCCGATGCTACTGGCAAATATTGAGTTTTTTTTTAAGAGTTAGGCCTATGGTTCTATTACTCTGCGGGCAGATTTAACCTGCGTATGCAAGTGGGACACAGTGCTAGCTCGTGTCTCACAAGGATTACATGAATTCAAAAGCGTAAAATGCACAGAGAACACTAGAAAGAGTATAAAAACACTTGCACCGTCTATGTGGCCTTTCCTGGACAATTATTCCTCACAATAAAATTGGGGCGTTGTTTTATAACCATTTTTCCTCTTCCTTTTCCTCTACGGTGATTGCACTTTATGTTAGTGAACATCATGTGATTCTGTCTATTATCTTCCTCCAATATAAGGCTTGCCATCCCAAAACCAGTGTACAGTCGTTATATGTTAAACTGAGTAATTAACATAAAAATGATCCAGTATTGTATACTTCAGTACAGAGAAGCCGTAATACTTTTACTCATAACTTTGGCAAGAATAAGTTATTTTTAGAAAATGACCCATCATTTTAAAGCTTATAATGTGGAGAATAAGAATAATATATTTAAAGTCAATTTCCATTTTGTTGGTCACTGATGCTGGGTTTGGGATGGCAAGCCTCATGTTCGTCCCAACACATCACCAATAGTCCCTCCGGAGGGGGAAGTTCTATAAACCCTCACATTCCCACTAGGTTGAACATCCTATCTAGCTGGTATATTTGATCTGAAACTAAGAATATGTATACACCTCATATTTAAAGCAGACTTATATTTTTTGTTTTCTTTGATTGTTATTTGTTATAAATCTGAAATTATATTAGCTATAGTTCAGGTAATTATCTAATACCAGTGTATAAAAGTTTGTTAATAAACAGCATTTGCTATTGAAAGGAAAGTATTTTAGAAACCACTGAATATTTATTTTCTGTATTATAGTACTGCAAAATAAACAAAAGAAAAATAATAGGCTTTTACATATTACATCAAAGGTTTAATGAGTATTGGGATAGGTTACACAGTGTCCACCAGCACCCCTTGTTTAGTTATGAAATCAAATCGTTCCATTTATATTCCAATAATCGATGCCGTGGCCCAGTGGACTAGATGTTGCACTTTTAAATAACTTTCTCCTCTCCTGAGGGTTGCTTCATGTCCTCTGCAGCCGGTAAACTGGTGCACTTTCATCAGTCCATAACAGGAGTCGAGTGAACCAGTACACTGGGGTTGCCCCCACTCGTCTCGAAAGATGTACTGGGTTCTTTAAAGTGCACATGAGCATTTGTGTACAATGGGCTTACGGTTTATAGTCCCTATCCTAGAAGAATTGTTCCACCACCGGAGAGAGGCGGCCGCAAACCTGTGCCGTTATTGTTGACTATGGTTACAGTGCCCCTGCCTTAATCGCTCGACCATTCAACTCACTCCAATATAGTATTTAAAATAAAAAATAAATTCACAATGTACAGTCATTATACGTCACAAACTGCATTAATCCAATTCATAATTTTTATTTGTGGTTGGGGGGGGGGGGGGGGGGGGGGTGTTTCGTATATAATGTTGATAAATTAGCCTAGTAAATTGGCCTAAATTAAAAATTTCATGCAAGAGCTCTGAAAACATTACGATACCCGAATCAAGAAGGGACTATGTAAGACCTCTGAAAAGATTACACCTGCATCAAAAGGGGGGGGGGCAATACTCCCATGGTAGTGTTATTATGGTACCCGCATCAAGAGGGTGCCATACTCCCCTGGTAGTGTTATTCAAACCATACAAGATTTTGGTAGCCTGTTCCTGGTTACCATACATTTTAGTTTTTTATCTAGTTGGTTAAAATATGAAACAGAAAAAACACTTATCAATGCAACTATTCAATTAAAAAGCTATTTTATTTCAAAAAGTGATGTCACAGATACATTTGATCTTGTATAATGCCTGAGTAAGCCCAGCCACAATGTATAAAGCCATGGCTCTCAAGTTGGAAGCAGTACAGAGATCATTTTTAACAGATCTGAATTCTAAATCAAATTGCTCATAAACTGATTAGCTATATCGACTGTAAATTTTGCGTAATATCTATTTCCTTTTGAATTTTTTGCTGCCCTTTCCCTTCATTTTTTTTCTGAAGTTTGATTTCTCCCTCTTTTTGCGCATCATGGTTTTCACATCCTTGCCCCGCATCCATTTATCTCGTTTCACCTCCCAGTCGAGCTGCTTCACACCTGTGTAAAAAAATATTTCGTCTTAATATAAGCAATAAAAATGTTCTAGATCCACGCTTGCCAAACTATGGGTTGCGACCCAATAATGAGTGGCCAAACCTTTGGGTCGCGAGCAGGTATTCAAAAAACAATTCAATTTATGTGCTCATTCTCAGACAGTTGATGCAGGTCTAACGATGTAAAACCAGTATTTTTAGGTGAATCCTCATTAGAACAATATTTTATTATATGCCAACAATGAATATTCTGAAATTCATATGACTATTATTTTTCTATTGGTTTTTCCCAAGGCCCTGCCCATCTTCCCTGACCTTCAACTTATAATTGGAATGTCACATGACTCACCGGCTTTGTCCTTATTGGATAATGCATTTGTTCCAATGCTGTTACTTCTTGATCCTACATTCTCATCCATGAGCAATGAAAACTGAAATGAAAAATAATTAAGAGAGTACTTTACATTAAAAAATAATAATATATTATTGCATGTCACAAAGTAAGAAAATAAAAAAGGGACGTGACTCCTCGTTTTTATCACAATCTATTTTTTGAACCTTTATAGAAGAATAAATATACTGTATCAGCATTTCAATTGATGCCTGACCTCTTCAGCTACTGATGTGACATCACTTCCTGCTCTAGGTTTCTTTGATTTGCTACTTGGTGGAGCAGGATTTGGTTTTCGTTTCTTGGTCTTACTGGAACCCTCCTTTTCATTGTAATTCTCTTTCTCCAGGCTTTTCTTAACAGCTTTTTTACTCTGCATTTTGGTACCAAGGTTAAACTCATCATCTATTATAAAATTAAAACATAAATAAAAAGCAAATATAAGTAAATCATATTTTTATTCTTCATACACCCTCAGCCAAATGTACATTTCTTTTTATTACATATTAGCCACATAAAGCTGTGGCAATTATAAGTCATGCATTCTGACAAACTATAGCCTATCACAATCTATAGAACTCACAATGTTTACATTTTTTTACGGTATGTGAAGATCGATGTGGGCTTGCATATAATATTTTAACAGAAAGCCACTTAAAGACTTTTGTTATATTTACCATCATCAGACATATCAAATGCCTCTTCATCAAAGTCCTCATTCTCAATTTTGAAATCATCCAGCCCAAAATCTTGCTCAATATCATCATCACTGAAATCATCAATATCGGGATCATCTAAATCCTCGTCTGAAAAGTCAGAACCATCAGAGTCGGTTTGCTTCTTCTTTTTACCCCGTTTTTCTTGGTGGAAATCTCTGAAAACAAAGGATAGCTTTTTGAGGTGAGTTCTAGAGTGCATTTAGCCTTTTCAAATATAAAGTTGTATTAAAACTTTTTTAATTTTGACTCTGAGAGGTATCCTGATGCCATCAACAGAAGAAGGATTGTACTTGGATTCAAGGAGCGAGGCAGCCTACACTACTCCTATAAACTTTTGAAAATTGGAAAAAAAAAAAGGGAAAAAGGAAAACTTCATATCATTTAAAATTTAGTTTGAGAGTGCCATTTCCTGCCATCTAGATGTTCCATAGCCATAAAATATTGCTTCTCAGCCCCAGCCATGGTGACGCTGAGGTGGTCTGGACCTCCATCTGTAAAGGCCCCTCCTCCTTTTCTCAGGGAAAGTAGAGAAGGTAGTATTGAAATTGCTATCATGTTTACAAAAAAACACAACACAATAAACACAATTTTAGACTTACCTAGCAAAATCAACATCATCATCAATTTCACCACTTTCTAGATCATCTGAAATTGACAATAAGTATACAATTGTATAAATATTGCATAATATATTTTTTCTTTGATTAATGAAATAATCAAATGATAAAACTCACCAAGATAATTTTCGAACTCATTGTCACTGACACTTGATGCATCTGAGTCAATGTCATCCACCTCCTTCACTTTCTTTTTGGCTTTCTTACTTTTCAGCTCAAAATACCTGTAAAAATAAACAGGATTTCAATTTTTCTGCTCAGCAAGATTTTAGTATGGACTGCAAAATTTTAATGGGAATATGAGCCGCACCTTTGGCCCCAGCCCCCTTAGATACCAAAGGTGACTCCAGTTTTTCCACACTGATAAACCAGAGTTCATCAGCCACAGAATTTACCATGGGTACCCAAAAGTTGGTCCCCAAGCCCCAGCTGGACCACTCTATTCATAGCTGATATTGTTTTGCTTTTGATGATGCTGGTATGACATTAATGATCAATAACTCTTGTTTTGTATTTGTGTGCATATTTGATTAACTTTATAGGCAAATACAGACACAATAAGGATAGGCAATTGCAAGAGCAGTTGGCAAAGTAGTTATGGTTTAGGGTCTCAATCTTGACATCCAGTGTTTGAAGGTTTGCTGTAAATTTTGCTTGTGTTCTTGGGCAAGACACTTTACCTGCAATTGTCTCTCTCCTACTTGGTAGGATGTTGTGGCATATAATGTATTACATCACAATTAGGAATATTCCCCACGGAGCAGAGAAAAAATTCACTTTGTGCCAGTTAAGGATCAACTCACTAGGATACCACACATAAATGACCTGCTGGTGATTTCATACAAAAAAAAAAACACCTCTGGTTTGGGTGTTCATATTAATGTACTTACTTATAGAAAAAGAGCTCATCCATTGGAATACTGTTCTCATCCTTATCAAGGAATTCCTTACTATTAACCACAAGCCGTCGTATGTCCGGGGCTACATATGTACGAGGCTGCATCACAGAGACCCTCTCTATGAGAAAGTAAAATTGTAATCATTTAATCTTTTTTAATCGACACAATTATCATCAATTTTTAATAACTAAAACTATAATAGCATATATTGTATACATATTATCTAGGTATTTTAAATGACATTAAAACAAAATTAAGGTAAGTGAAATGGAATGGTACCTGTCTCCTTTGATTTTGGGTTACGGTAGACAAACCTGTCCAAGAATCTGATGAGTGTAAAATCCTGAAGGGGATTCCCCATGTAATTAATGGGATCACCCGCCAGTAAGTGAGTTGCAAATAATGCGACTGACGGATGGAAGTGGTGTGAAAGCTGTATACAAAGAAAATAATCCATAATAACTATAACAAATTATTAATTTCACAATAAAATATTCAAAGTATTTAGTTTACTTAAAGTGGTCTAGTACCACACAATTTTTAAGAAAAACTTAAATAATAAAATAATTAATATAACTTTAATTATAATATTTTCGAAACAAAATGTTGTAGGTAGATAACAACATTATATTTGTTAAGTTTAGATAAAGCTCTGTATTTCACTAATAATGTAATTTTATTTCTATACCACTTTATTTCAGCATCTTACCTTCCTTAGCTCCCAGTAAACACTGTCTTCAGAACCAGAAAACAGAGGATTTCTTGCTAAAGGATCATAATGCATCTTACTACCTGATAAGGAAAAAAATGCAAACAGTTTTTTTTTAATACTATAAAACAATACTGTAGAAATGTTGAGCTCAAAGTGGGAGATGATTTCAGGTTTACTGTAGTTCTATCTGGAGACGATCCAGGTCTTTATGTTTATTATCCAGAGAATTGATGTTATACCTAGAAATATTTTCTTTGAGTTTGATCTTGATCTCATACTAGGGCGCATCTGTTTAAATTAAAGTTTTGCATTCTAGGCGTGATACATTTTCTAGAATTATTTTATTGCAGAACAGACTCCATTGTCTCTTTTTCTAATGTAAACTCTATTAAATCAAAGTTGATGCATGGTCCAACCACTCCTTATAGTTCATGTCGTATACTGAAAGTGATTGTTAGAATTTTACCTAGTCAGATTGTAATGTCATGCAATCCTGTAACAGAAGTAGCCTGAAGACATTATATATGCTCATATAATCATGATGTGCCTATAGATGGTCATTATGTGATGTCATCATCACCATTTTTAGGCATCTCACATGTTTTTGTCATAATAAAATTTGATAGTCTGAACAGGGGTTTATGACTGTTGCAGTATACCTGTGTTTTTGTTTAGTATCATATTGAAGCCATGACATACCTGTTTGTTTTTGTTTAGTATCCTTATGAAGCCATGACATTTCCTCTCCAACATTTGATGCATATAAAACACCTTGATCTGTTTTTGATTTTGACTTATTTTCTTCTTCATCCTCCTCATCAACATCTACAAAATGTTCCTCGTCATCAGAGTCCTAGATAGTAAAATAAGGTGGGGGAGGGGGTGTTAAACCTTAATAATTAAGCATTACTCTACAAAGAGTTACAGTATACATTTATGCTACATCTCCCCTTTTATAACTATATTGTTTATATTACATTACTGACAAATATATCAGGATGTCATATATATATTTCATACACAGCAGAGCATAGGATTGAGAAGGAAGCAGAGTTTGGGAAAGGCCTTTGGACAGCAATGGCTTGAATGCTGATGAGATAATGACAACATATTCATAGAGTAGGTACCGCTGATTTAGCACTTACCATGGCTTTGTCTATGATACAGGTCAACTGCGGCCTGGACTGTATGACCTCTGAGATTAGAAACAAAATGGCACATATCGATGGAGGTTGCTGCTGACAGCTGATTTGCAGAAGTCTCTTTATGAAGGCCTAAACAAAAAAACAATTGTTTACTTTAATAAAGGTGGTACAATTAACAAAATGGAAGCATTAGTCTAGGAGAATAGAAGACACTCTAGTGGTAGCCACTGTGTGTGTGCTCTACTACCTTCAGTGTTTCAGCCATAGGGCTAACATACAAGTTACGACAGCATACATGTCTTTCGGATGCAGCTTAAGACATTGAAGCCATGAGCAGGATGACTCATGTGCAAAAGAGTATAAGATTGTCTCCTGGTGTACTGTTCCACTGTAAACAAATCTACCGGCTTTGTGGGTTATAACATAGAATGAACGTTACTCAGAATAAAGAGAGGGAGGCCATGATCCATAGCCTCCCTCTCTTTATTCCAAGTAACGTTCATTCTTTGCTATTTAAACATAATCAGTGCATCTGTGAGTTTGTGAGTTAGCCTTGGTGTATTTCACATATTCCTATTCTATCTTAGAGTACAAGTTCAGTACAAGTCCTTGGGATTCTAAAGTATGTATCTGACAACCACTCTGCGACGTGTCAACAAGTATTCCTTGCTTTGCGTACTAATTTGTTTAAAGATCATCGGACAAGGGCCGAATAAAAATAAAAACAAAATTTTGTTTTCTTATTTAGCAAACAGTTTTGCCAAAAATATCCAGACGGAGGAGAAAATAAAAATATAAATTTACTGGTGAATGTAAATAGGATGGTTAAACGCTTCAAATTTATATAATTAGGATATTTCAAGGCAGTGGAGGGTGTAATAAAAATAAAGAATAACTTTTATTTTTTTCTGAAATTTCCACTTTTTCGTGGTGGCGGGTGCGCTAATTAAACCAAAAATAAAATTTTATTTTTATTTGAAATCATGAGTATTTACAGTCGTCGGGTTCGCTAAACAAGGTATAAAAAAAAAATCTCGCCTAACCTGTTCTACTATTACAATACCACAAAATTATGATATAAATCTTACCTTAATTCTCTTTACAATAACATCTCCTTTAAGGGACTGGTACAACAAGTTTAAGAACATTGATAGTCGTGGTGACTTTTTCAATTCTGGGTCTAAAAGTTTCTTGAAAAGCGCACAGTAATACCTATCTGATGTTGATTGCCTGAAAAATGCACAAATAACACATTGAAAGTTTTAAAAATTTACATATGCCTAAATAATTGAAAATAATTACTGTTGAAAAATGAAGATTTCAGTACAATATTTGTAAATAATATCATTTTCCATATCGCTAAATATATCAATTTTAGATAAATACTCCAATTGGCCAGACACTATGCTACTCCATTTACTATCGCATTCTCTCCAGTATGTGTTGCTAACTCTAATCTAAGACCAATTGTTTTGGAAACATCTCTAATTACCTTGAACACATCACCTGATGGAGTAGCAAGAGACACTGGACCGAAGTACTGAAAGGCGACGTGTGAACCATTTTAAACAACATATCAGTCTGTTCATCCAACTTATCATCTTCAACTGTAACAAAATTTCGAAAATATTATTCTTTCATATCTTCAAACTCTGTCCACACTGTCAAATTTTTTATGACAAATATCTATGATTTGCCCATATTTGGAAATGAATATCACTGTAGTGGGCGGAGGTAAGTGGGGCTACCCAAACTTGACGTTTCCACCCAGTCTAAAGCTAATGTCATGGTCCTCAACCCACCTTTATTAACATCCTTGCCAATGTTATCAACCACCCACCCTTAAAATTTCGACCAGCCACTATTAGTTTTCTACAGTTACAACCCTAATAACAATCATCGATAGTATAATAAACAAAACCATCTGTACAAAAAGCATTAGGAAACTGACTTACTTTTGGCATAAGGATAAGCCCTGTTCACACCTGTGAGTACTGCACTCATCATTTTGTGGTCTACTTTCTTCTTTTTTGTACAAGCCTACAAATGAACTTAAATTTTAGTAGATCATACAGTATATATATAAACTACCTCATATGAAACACAAGAGCAGAAAGACATAATTTGTTGGCAACAAGCATATTAGTAAGCAGAGACATAAATATAGGGGTGCAGATCAGCCACTTTCCCGGGGTGCCGAAATGATGGGGCTCCAACATTTTATAGAGAATTTTTTACTTTTAATTATTTAGCAACCACAATAAAATGCCTAGGGACCAAAAACACTAATTTTCCCCTGTAAAGCAGTTTGATCAGTGTCTGCTGATTGTAAAACTTTACCTTGAAAAATGAAAAATATATAACCATGAGTTTAGTTGCCAAATCTTCCTCATCATGACTTAAAATTACTTGATTCAAGAAACAGATGCCAAAATACCTGTAAGGCAATAATTGTTGATAAAATAAACCTCCAACTATGGCTAACAAATAACATTCTACTTATCTCATAGCAACATTTTCACCAAGCCCAAGGTCCTACTGTATGAATGAATGTTCAAACTTCAACTAAACTGTCATTGTTTCACAACATTCCACCTCTCAAGCTTCATAGAAAGCATCTCCTTCTATGCAGTAATATACTTACACACTAGTTTTTAATTGTGTTATTTGTTGTTTCTACCATACATTGATTTCATGACATTAGTGATTATGGAAGGTGAAAAATGATCAGGTTATATATATGGTGTGACAAAAAAAGGAGAAACAAAAATGACTAGCTCATAACTTTTTTGTTTGCTTCTTAATACACATTAAAATAAAATAAACTCACTGTGCTTTGGAGCTAATATTTGGTCTGTACAGCATTCTCTCCATTTCCTGTACCACAATGCATTTCATGATTGGATGAATAGAGACTAAAGGAAAAAAAGAAATTTCATTTCATTTATTTTGTGATAAGATAAATCTCACTCTCAGATATGTACAATAGAAAATATAACACTGTTTTGTTAGCTTAACTTCAATAAAATATTGAGGAACACATGTAACAATAAATTATGACAACACCATAAATAGAAAAAAAATATATTAGAATATTTATACTCACCTAATTTCTGCAAGAGGTACACTGCTTTGGATGCCACCTTAGACTCTGGGTCGCCGACCTTGTTAACAAGTTTCCCCAATAAAACCTGTAAGGTAATTACATAGCCAACATAGTACAACTTTAGATTAAATCATGTGACTATTCCAAACTGAGACTTGTGGCTAAATTCTGTTGGCATAAAACAATAATAGACATTGTACCTGTTCTTGTTCTGGATTTGCAACCAGTAGTTCCTGCATTGTACTCAGTGCCTTTGTTTTAACTGCTTGTACTGTGTCTTGAGACAGAATCTTTATGTAAAAATAAATATATCATTGTGATATAAATATAAATATTGGTATAGATACCTACTACAAAATAAACAATTATCTCATACTGTAGTATTGAGACATTCAGTGTGAAGAAGTTCCTTAAAAAACCCCCTATATTATATTGATTCATGATGTTTTCCTCATTCTCGCTGATGAAGGCCACAGGAGTGGCAGAAATATCCGAGTTTATAATAAATCAGTGTTCTTAAAGTCTACTACTGAAGTTGTTTCATTATTTTCTATATATATATATATATATATATTTATTTTATATCTTTGGGTATACATTTAAAAAATCTCAGAACAGCTTCCTAGACCCTCGCCTGGGCTTCAACCCTCGCCACATTGTCTAGTTACTCACAGCAAGATATCAATTTACAGCCTTCATTAACCCACCTCTAAGGTTTTCACAAATTCTGAATATCGCTTCTTCAAAGCATCTTCAAAATACCAAATAAGAAGCCTCTTGTCCCTTTCCTCCTTGTTCTTGCCACACAGTACATGAAGTTGATCAAAGGGGTGCTGTCAAAAGTAAGTAAACGGTTAATAATAAAACATCTGTTCCAGTAATCAAGGTAACAACATAAAATGCATAGAGGCTTTAGTAACATCTGCTACACAAAAACTAGCATTACTATCAAAAACCTGATTTAACATTTTAATAACCACATCAACCAGTGAACCATTTAGCGCTGTCCAGACTTGCAAATCTTATTTGACAAAAACATGTCATGCCTAAATATAGTCATAATGACATCACATCATGACCATATATAGGCACATCATGACTATATATGGCATACATCAGTTTTATGTCAAAGAAAATTTGATAGTGTGGAAAATGTTTGATCAGATTTTACTGGACACTGTATGCTTGTTCCAGACATATCTGACAAATTGTGTCTTTCCATGTCTTATGGATATTGGACAATTTGAAGAAAGGCCTTTTAACCGCTTTTATGATAACTAACTATTTAGAGATTTTTTGTTATACCTGTGAAAATAATTTCAGTTTTTGATCGTGAATAAGGAGCTCTTCCAACCACAGCTGTTTGAGGTTGTCCAGTGCAATGAGTACCTCTCGTCTACCCTTCTTATTAACCATCTGGAGCAGCATGTCTAGGCTTGAGAGGTTGTGGAGAATGCAATCTTGTATCTGAAGTGTAAGCACTGCAACTTTGTCCGCAAGAACACCTGCTGATATTACAGTGTTCATCCATTGTAGCTTAGAACTATTTCCAACATCTTTCCCTAAAAAATAGAAAGAACAATCAACTTTGGCTTAGTGACCTGGTACCCTAGTTCATTGGTTTTACCATCGCTACTTATGATAGCATGTATCAAAAGCCATAAAATACAATAAATTCCCAATAACCAATAATATCTTCTTTCCAAGCATTTATTTTATTTATTTCTTTACCCTGGATGACCTGATCAGTGCACTAAGTATTGTTATCCTCCAGGGCCCAGCAACACATACAATAAAATACACATGACAAAAATCGGTACACAGACAATTAATTAAGGATATAGAAATTAAAATGTAAGCATAAATGTTTGTTTTCTGTTTCATGTTTTACACTTACATAGATATTGATGAGAGAGTTAATATTGATTGCTACTATTATATTTTAGACTGAAACTGTTAAATACAATTATTCATGAACATAGACAAAATTCTTGTAAATAAACCATTAAATGTACATATTTTTTGTGACGTTCCGTTCCATTATTAACGAATCTTTATCAAACAATGTCTTGTTTGCTAGTTAGTACGTACATTCAATGGTTTACTTACAAGAATTTTGTTTATGTTTATACATCATAGAAACCGTAAGAAACTATTTGAGATAACACTATTCATTAGACATAATGTGGCATGCACAGGGAAGTAAGCATTTCCATGCCATTGACGAGTTCTAACTTCTAAGTTCCATTTGATCTACAGTACAGGGATATACCTGACAGGCCCTATCCAGAGTTACTAGAGGATTGGGTTTTCAATTGATTAACATACAAATAAAATTATTCAATTGTGTTGTAATTTAAATTGAGGCCTTGCATATATATGCTGAATTGTTTTTATTTATTAAATATGTGCGTGTAGGGGTACAATTACGAAATATTTTATCGAAGGTGGCAATGTTGGTTTATGTACATACTTTCCTTGTAAAGCTGAACTTCATTTCCATACAATTTTGCAGCATGTGATTTGAATGCCTTCAATGCCTCATCATCTACTTGTTGAAATTTGACTGGATCATCATTGAACTGAAAAGAGAAACATAATCAAAAGTATGAGAATAATCAAAGTACTGTGTGAACTTCAAGGTTATGTACATATCTCAATGTTTATTGATGGTCAATATTTGCTATCATTACATGTCATTACTGTATAAGAAAATAAACACAACTATTGTGAGAATGGGACTTAGGACACATACCTACTGGACAATTATCCCTCACAAATTATGCAATTAGGCAATTACACAAAACTGAGAAGGCTAAATAATATATTTTTTAGGATAAACATGTTGCTCTTATCAGGATTGGAACCTACGACCTTATGTAACTGTTAACAGTTCAAGTGCTCTACAATGAGGCCAAGATAATATTAAGTCATATTCAACAACATTTGCTTAATAAAATCACAGTTAAAAATACATCTATTTTTATTTAACTTGGTAACAACACCTTTGAACAGAACAGAAATATCTAATTATGGAGGTAGCCTTACCTTCTTTTCATGCCACTTGCCACCTGGCTTGAACAGGTATGTTTTGTATACAGGTGACTTTGTTAGTTTCCTTAATACTTCTGGTTTTATCTTTGATTTAGTTGGTGTTTGCTCATGTGCTTCCTTACTACTTTTGTGTTTCTGTTCTTTTTTCTTTTCACTGAAAAGAGAAAAAAAGAGAGGAATTATACTAATGCAACCAAAAATCTTTGGTTACAAAATAACAATGTCAACATTATTATTAATATTTGGATTTGCATTCACATTCTGGAAAGTGTAGAATGGTGATTTTTATCTAAATGATGATTTACATAAAAAAAAACAAAAAAAAAAACAAACAAACAAACCTGTGACTATCTAGAGACTTGTTTATACCCAAACTTTTGAGGAATTGAGCAATCTCTTGCTGGCTAATGTTTTCCCCATCATCTTTCACTTCTAAGTCTTCTTTTAAAGGATCATCCTCAACATCCTTTATGAGGTTATAATCATCCTGAAAAAAACCAGAGATTGACAGCCAGTTTATTACCGTGACTTCTACAAAAATACTTGTATTTTCATTGATTCTTCATTCAGCTAAACATGAATATTTACATATAACAATGAAAGAACATTTTTCATGCAAATTTAAGAGAGTTTTCTATCATACTGGAAAGTTTTTTTTCTTGCGCGGACAGATGATACCTCAAGCTCAAATTTCCATGGAAAATAGGTGCGCACAATCATAATTACTGCATTATACATTGTTTATATTAAGATTAGGTCAAAGCCTAATATTTGTCAAAATGTGCGCGGAAATCGGCCCTTATTTTCAGAAATGCACAGACAGATTTCTAGGCCAAATTTTGCAAGAACATATTCCCCACGTATGCCTTACTTTACAGTCTGAGTTTCCTATGTATCCCATGCACAAACTGACTACATGCACAAAAAAATTAAATCAAATTTAAAAAAAATTAAAATCAAATATGAATTTTAAATAATTAAACTTACTATTTTAAAATTAAAATTTTATGAAACAACAGAACATACTAGCCTAGGCTGGGCCTAGCCTAGGGCTATCCTATATCCTAAAGCTGGATTTAATAAGATTCAGATATCGTAAATTGTCCCATCATATAAACCATGGCCATGCATGGAGGTATATTAGCTCTATGAACCAACCTAGGCCTAGCCTAGGCTCGTCAATGTTGCGACTAGCAGCAGACCATGCTGTCACTGACTGAGCCCCTTGACCCTTGTCAACTGTCTAAACCCCCAGAGTGAGATAAGTGAAAGGACTAAGCCTAGACAAAAATAAGCACAGTATTTTACCTCGTTTCCACCTAGTTTTTGCACTAGGCCTATGTCAAAGCCGGATGTCTCTCCTTCATTATCGATGGCTTTCTGAACAGCTTTACTTCTGTTAAACTTACTTCTTACTTTAATCTTGTGTTTTCCTCCACCTTTAGGCATTCTCGCATCACATGTGTAAACCTAGAGCGTCGATAAATAACAATAAAATTCTATTGAAACGGAAATTGTTGTGGTGGTTTTCTATATCTACTTGTATTAAGTGTTTGAAATTCTGAGTGTGTATAGTAAAGTAAAATCGTTCAATTGCAAGGGTCAGTGGATTGGTCTATTTGGTGGTTAGCGAGGTCTTCAAAATTCGAAAGTTAACTTAAGGGATTGTTACATATTTTATTAGGCCTAGATAATGCATAAAACTAAAAGTAGGCCTAAATTATGAAATTTTTAAAGCATTAGGACGTTGTATTTTTATTTGCATTTATAATGTACCACTTTAAATCGTAAAATAGTTCATTTCCAATCATGAATATCCCTTCGATTACAATAGAACATGCATACCGACTACAGGAACAGGAACAGTTCGATCACAGTGAGTACTTACAAAGAGTATAAGTACTTACTACTGGGACTCTGACTGACAAGGCAATTTAGGCCTAACTAATTTTTGGTAAGGTGAAACCTAATGACTAATCCTAATTATTTAATTTTTAGCGATATTATGAAGCTATATAGGTTCTAGGCCTAGCCATAACTCATTGCAGAAGATATTCGGCTACGTACCCGCGGTCCATCCATGGATCGCACCTGATCCGCTCTAAAAAACAATGTTTTGAGGCCTTGACTAGGCTTGCCGCATTTGATGATGCTCAGCTTAGACTAGGGCCTAGGCACAAGGCTAACTAAGGGTAGCAGGTAATTTCGGCCCAAATCCAACTCGGCTCAGAAGAACCAACTCGGATCAAAACCAACTCAGCCCAGACAACAACTCAGACCAACCAACTCAGCCCAAACGACAACACGGATCCAAAACCAACTCCGCCCATTAATATTATTTATTAATCTATCTGTTAATGATTCCTAATGATTTTTGTTTAATGTATCCTAACTGTTATTTTATCTTATTTATTCGTTTTATCTAATTCTAATGTTATTTGAGTAATAGTTTCAGACATAAATTATTTCTTTGTTCATATAGACATACTTTTGTTATGTGTAATAATTTCTAACGTAGACTAATTAAAAATTTACACAATTGTATTCACAGACCTGCCAACTCACCCGATCCTGTTGGGTGTCACTCGATATTTAAACAAATCTCCAGTTCTCCCGATCAAATCTAATATTCACCAGATTTCACAGGCCACCACCCTCCCCAAAAATACTCCGATTTATGCATAATTTAATTGATTTGATCGTTATTATTCAATGTTTTTCGCCGCCTGCTTGCTTCGCGGTGCAATACAAAAGCAGCCATTTTCAATTCGAATGTCGCCATCAACGGCCAATGATTTATAGTGAAGTGACTTTATCGACTTTTTTGGTGTCTTGCATCATCTTTTGGTTATTTCTGGAAACCTCCAGATTTTTTGGTAAATCTCCAGATTTTTTTTTCAGATTCTTAAAAAAAATCTCCAGATTTTCATGACCCAAGGGTTGGCAGGTCTGTATTCGGATAATGCCGAACATAATAGACCTAATTATAAATGTGTTAAAACCATCATAACATAACTTCCTTATTCTTTTATGATTTCCGAAATATTTAATCGTTTAACAATAAATTTCTCCAAAAAAATATTTAATTATGCATACAAAATTTAATAGTTTATTCATCTCTTTTAAGCACATTGACACTATGACTACACCTATGTACGATATTGATTATTCAAGAAGGTTATAGGAAGGTTATTTATGGTTAGTTGTTCCCTGTGTGTAAAATGAATAGTTGACTTTTGTTGTCAGTTTTTGCAAGGCACTACATTCATCGGAAAACAGATTGAGTGCTGTTAATCTGAAATTAACAGTTTACCAAAAAATATTTACCAGAAAATGTAGTGCACCTGTTTTATTCCAAAGTGTTAGATTTATTGTAAAAATAAAAAAACCTGCTGGGGTAGCCAGCCTAAAATGACAGTAGGCCTAAAGTTTACTTCTAAAATTTCCCATCATGAATTGAAAAAAAACTTTAAATGTAGCCAGTTTGAATTAAATGTACCTGAATAAATCTGTCATATTTGAGTATGTTATTTTGCTTTATGTTCATACAAATATATTCATTATTTTATAAAGGTATGTTAAAATTCTACTAAAAGATAAAATTAATTGGGCCTACAGTAGTAATAATTCGCATATAACATAAAAAGAAATGATAAGAATAGTAATAATAAAGAAAAATAATATTAGGCCTATAAATATTAATTGTAATTATAATAATAATACTAAAATAATGATAATAAATAAATAATATTAATTATTATTATTATCATTTTACTACAACAATGTATTATTATTTAGTAGTCGTATTCAATATTCTATTTCGATTCAATTGAATTGTTATTTGGGTATTGTGTAATCGCGATCGCTATTCATTTGGGTAGTTTTCGTCTGGGCAGAGTTGGTTTTGGTCCCAGTTGAGTTTGGTCCGAAGTGTCGGTTGGGCCGAGTTGGTGTTGGTTCGGGCCGAGTTTTTCAATTTTCTTTTGACTTTGTTTTGCGTGTTATTGTCTTTCTATTTTGTTGGCTTGTTTGTACTGTAGACAAGCGTTAGCCAGGTTGCGCCCCGATTACAATTGAAACAGCGTTATAACAATATACCGGTTTTACTGAATGTCCAATATACAGTGATATCAGATCCCACTTGTATGATGATATTGTTCAAATCAACCCATCCTTTGCAGATCTAACCACTAAATGACAAATTTAATTTTGTAATGAGTGATGGCAACCACTGTTATAGGGTAGCTAAATTTGCTTTTCAAATCCTCTTCTTACATCAGTCTATTGTGTTTAAGAAATTCATATTTTAAGAAATGTTTGTATAGTTTGTTTTAAAAATTGTTAAATTGTGTATGCATGTTTTGTAATATGTCCAGTTTTTCACTTATAAGCCAGAATTGACTGGTCTCAGTTTAAATTTGGGAGTGTGAATAAATAAAAAACTTATTAAACATCAATTTTTCACCGTCTAAGCTATTAGTGGTAGTAATTAACAAGTAAGGCCACAGGAAATTAATATCTGATTTCTAAGGCATTGAATTAGCAGACCCTTATAATGATAATATGAAGCCCACATGCATTTCATAGAATGTCTGAATTTAAAGAGGAATGTTATGTTGGTAAGCAATGGTAGCCCTACTATTTTTTATTAAATTATTTACTATTAAAATACCTGTTTATATAATATATCTTCTTGTGAGGTACATTTAAAAAAAACCAGTATATCAATGTATTGATTTGTTATTGACAACTTACCTGTATAAATTGATTGCCTGACCTTAAGGTTGAGTGACTAATTTGCATATGCTACACTAAATGCATAAGTGATTCTAAGCAGAGTAACGAGAGTATGTTGTGAATATTATTATCAGTTTATTTTTTGTATTCAGTTACTATTCTATATAACTGTCATCATTTTTTTTAGTGTACAGTTTAATTATCTTAAAGATGTATTGTCCCATGCAAAATAAAAAAAAAATCATTTTTGAAATTAACTTACCCATTTTAAAGTCCTGTATTACGTAAACATGATCAACTTGAACATAGAAATTAGTGTATTTCAAAAATGTTTACACATCATTTTGCAGCACAAAAAGATAGAAACACTTGCAGTCACTGAAAGAGTTTTATTGTTATCAATTTTAAAAATCAGAGTACACATGTATTAAATTCAATAATTTTGAACATGATTAACTGCAAAATGAGCAAGATAAATTCAGAAATATTTTTCATGATTTTTTTGTCATTTTCAAGGGACAATACTTTAAATTTCTCCTTTGTAATTCTCATGGAATTTGTCTTAAGGTTATAGCCAACTTCAATCTTACAATATTTTTTTTTTATTTGTCCATGCAGATGTCTACTAAGCTTATTGTGATCTTTGACTGGTGTTACAACTGTATATTCATGTCGCAAAATATCACCATATTGCGAGATGAGGCAAAAACAATTTAAAATTGCAATTTTCATCATCGTATTCGTATACTTGCTTACTTTCGGCATTATACTACCAATAATGTGCTGGAATCTTCCCTTTTCACGGTACTATGTCCGTAGGAAAAGTACACACACTGTTGACAGTGCAATAAAGAAAGACACGTTCGAGGCCAAAAAAGCTTACAAATACTTTTCTGATATGGAACCGCCTGAAAGTAGCATAGAATTTTACAACCAAGCTTTTGTAACGCGAAATCCAAAATACGCAATTGGAATTATCACAGTTAAAAGACGTGCATTAGACACAAATTCTAAACCATACTCTCCTCAGTATTTGCCACGCGTGGTGGCCCGGTTTGATAAGCTACTTAAAAAGTACAATAAAAAAGATGTTGTATTTTTCCTATGCAATGCTCAGTCTGACCCTGAGGAACATGGAACAGCGTGGGAGCTAGCAAAGTATGTGCCTTCTGTACATAAAGTGAGATCTCCACTGAAGAAACGATTACCAAATTCTCGTGAGCTTGAGAAACAGGATTATGTTTTTTGCATGAATCATATTCGGAAGTTTAACGCGACATACTCGATCCTTGTCCAAGACGATGCCTTACCGTATCCACAGTTTATAAAAGAGCTGGATCACCTAGTAACAACTAGAATAGAGAATAAATTTGTTAGAGGTAGACTTCAAAAGAACACAGATACATTGGCGTCTGTCAAATTCTACTTTCCTGAAAAATGGGAAGGTTATGGAGCTGAGTCCCGCCTAATTATAGAACTCATTGCTGTTGGGGCTTTTGGGGGCGGTATATTATATGCAATTTTCAGCATATTCTGGTTCACTGACAAGACGTGTTCTCAAAGTTTTATAATGTTTATCATGTGGTCATTTTATATTGGATTGTTGATGTTTGTAATTGGACGGCCTTATCTCTTGTCGTTGCGAATGTTGTCTCCCGATTACTATTCTATCGTGTCCGCTCCTGAATGTTGCATTCCTGCAGTTCTGTACAAGACAAAGTATATAGAACTCTTAGAGAATCACTTGCGTGGAATTACTTGCCACAATACGTATCCATTAGATGTCGCAATCAGTAGGTTTTTTCAACAGCTCTCTTTAAAACAGTATTTAGTTGTGCCAAATCTATTTGACCATATTGGTTTATTTTCATCTCTTCACAAAGAACCAAAGGATCCACACTCCTTTATGACGTGAAAATAATAAATAATTTGTATCTGTACAGTAGTTGTGACATACAGTATCGTAAGTATACTCGCATAATAAGACCAGGCTTAAAATAACAAATAACGATAGAAAAACAGGGGGTTATCTTTTATGCACTACAGTATGAACAAATTTTAGAGTTAACCCTTTGAAGTTGCGGTCCGTATAATATATGAACCAATTTACTGTTGCAGGAAGCCCGCTCCGAATTATGTACGGACTGACTTTGGTGCTGCTGCCCTCTATTTAATGAGTAATTTTAGGGGTTTCCCTATTGTTGCCGCAACTGGACGTGCAGAAGCCTTCAAAATGGCCAAATCGGTAGCAATCATTCAACGTCAGTGATGCACTTACCCTTATTTTAGCGGATGATGACAGTGGGGCTTAATGGGCGTCAGTGACCGTGGCAAAATTCACTTGAGAATTTAAAGGGTTAAATCATGATGGTCTTATGTGCGGATCGTCCGTAACGCGTGAATTTACTACTACAATGAAGCTACTAAATGTTGATTGAATACAAAATCAACCAAAAATCTTCTCAAACTCAAGGGTTGACGCTTAAATGCGAGTATACGGTGCGGTTATGGTGCTTTGCTTCCCTTCCCAGAAAGTGTATTTCTACCTCAGTACACATAGTTCATGTATAAGCTATCATTATTAATGTACTGTGCTGCAGCAAAATTTATATGTAATTAGCATTGATTTACTGCAAGATGGTCTGTATTGTACCATATTGTACGGTATTGGGCAATTCCACAACAATTACAATTTAATCTAGATAATATTTGGACGGATTGTCATGTCCTGTGATAAAAATTAAAGTGGAATTCCTTCACAAAGTAAAATTTGTAGAAAATTTCAAAATGTTGACAAGATCCTTTTTTGAAAATTTTTTAAGCAGCCTAGCTGCTTAAAAAAGTTGTGCACTATAACACACCTATAAGGCGAGACATTTTATACCTTGTTTCGAAAACTTTTTTTTTTTAAGATCATCAGAGGAGGGCAGAAAGAAAAATAAAAATAAATTTTTTTCTTATTAAGCAAATAGTTTTGCCAAAAACATCCAGATGGAGGTGAAAATAAAATTAAAAGGGTGAATACTGTATAAACAATATACAGTAATGGTGATTGTGTAGTTGGGATGAAATACACATATCTTATTCTTGGAGATTTCTAAATAAAGTAAAACCTTTTTTTTTTTCTTGAAATTTAGATTTTTTTTGGTGGTGGGTGCTTTAATTGGCCAAAAATACAATTTTATTTGAAATGATCATTAATGATGGCCGGTGGGTTTGCTATAACAAGGTATAAACAAAAGTTTTGCCGTAATACCCATAAAAGTTATTTTCAAGACGCATTCTAGCCTTCTCAGTTTGTAAAAATAAGCCAAAAATTGTTGTGCTTTGTAATTCTGTTTCCCTATTATAAAATTAAAAATTGTTGTTCTTTGTAATTCTGTTTCCCTATAATGAAATTAAAAATTGTTGTGCTTTGTAATTCTGTTTCCCTATTATAAAATTATATGATGTAGACTAATAGTGATCTGTGACAATATGTCAAGTTTCACCTTCTTGTAAGAAAATCCTGCCAAAGTACTACAGATTGAGATAGAGGTAGTGGTTATAGCTGTAGAAAACTAAAGCCGCAATCGCACTGGATTTAAAATAGGGAAATTTTTACCAAGACTGTGGGTAACATTCCAATGGGTAAACTTCCTGTCGTTCGCACTGGGATTTATCGACGTGGTTAGTTTTACCACAGGCCATGGTGAAACTAACCATTCGTACAGATTCAACTATTGGGGGCGCTAAGACAGGGCCCACATCATGTTGTATTTGTTGATAATCGCGATGGATTGTCTCACCAAGACCTAGCACATTTATTAATGCTCCATATAAATCGGCCATTAAAACAAACCGAGTAAACAAGTGAAAAAAATGACAAAATTACTCAAAATCAAGACCCTAGCAAACACGCGCGAAATTAATCAAGATGTTTGTGTGTGACGTTTTATTCCAGGTCACAGCTCATGCGTAATTGCCTGACAGCCTGAGGAAGGTCATTCACTGTGATGACTTGGGAAGTTTACCCGACTCGCGCTGTTCGCATTGGACTTTCCTGTAGGTAAAACTAACCTGGTCAGTTTTCCTGGGCAAGCGGGACTCGGTTAAATTAATCGCGCGGCTTGGGTAAGTTTCCTGTCAGGTAAACTTCCTGTGCTGTTCGCACTGGACTAATTATGGTAAAACTAGCCAACGTGTTGGTTAGTTTTACCAAAAAAAGTCCAGTGCGATTGTGGCTTTAGGGTGCATGATAGGGTTGGTTGGTGAGAACATTGGTAAACTCTAAATAATAAGAGTCCATTTTAATAATGGGCAAATCATGGCAGGTAGAGGGCCACAAAATTAGCTTTAGTCTGGGTGGCCCCACCCACCTCTACCCACCGTAACTACTGTACATCCCTGATAATTTATTTATGTGCTTTTATTTACAATACTAATTTAACTGAGATGTGCCTTTGTTTAAATATGGAAAGATTTAACAATATAAATTACAGTACAGTATTAGGCCTGTGCTGAATTTAAATGCCACATTTTATATTTAATTTAATGTAAAAATAAATGGAAAATATACATAATTATTATAATTTTTTTAAATTTTATGTATGAATATATATAATTTTAATCAAAACAAATTGTTTAATTGAAATAGTTAAATGCACATTTTATGATACAGTACTGTATTCAATGATTTATTCAATTATTGTTGTTAAACAATTCTACAACAGACAAATAAATTCACAGAAATTGAATTAAGTCGTCTCAAAGTATGGTTTTATTGCACAAAATACTGTATGATTATTGCACATAGTTTTGTATTACTCAGCAATTGCATAGTAAAGATATATAAACATTTAATTTCTTGATAAATATATATAATGATATAGAAAAATATAAAATATTCTGTATTCTGTAGTAAAACGTTATAAACTTTTTCATAAAGCACAGTTTTATTTTCTTCAATTCAGCACATGATTATTAATTCATTTTCTCTCATTTTTCCGATGTTGGTGGAGGTTTTGCATACTTCTGGTTCCATAAGTAGCAATAAAAATTTGTATTATTTAGGCTGTTTTTGCACACACATACACATATACGCATCAATGTTCGCATTATAATCCCAAGCAGTACAGATAATCACTTCAGGAAGGGCATGATAATGTTTTTTTTGTTTTTTGGGGATTTTTTTGTTTTTTTGTTTTTTGCAATAATTTCATTAGGAAAATTCTTTAAAAACTGGTAGAAGGGAGTCAAAGGGTTAATCTTTTAAAAAGTTGTTTTCATTTACTTTGCATTTTAGACAAGATGGTAAATGTCACTTATTAACTTTTGTTGAAAACTGAAGGATGAATTTGTTATTAAGTTCTTTTATGAAGATGGACTAAAAAGGTCAGTACAACTAGAATCCACTTAAACCTATGAAAAGGAATGCTTAATCTAATCTAATCTTTTTTTTTTTTTTTTTTTTTTAATTTATGAAAAAGTATTTCACACAACCAATATCTATCTTTATCTTATCATTTTCAAAATTAATTATCAGCGCACCAGACAGGTATATACTTTTAATGGTCAGAAAATTGTTTTCAGTAATTCCTTTACATTAATTTACTGCATACAACAATACAAATAATAAAGATGTTAATATTATTTATTACTGCAAGATCTTACAGACTATAGGTAAAAATAGTGTGACTAAGGAGGTACAATAGATAGTTGATGTTAACAATTGGATTTGGTCAATCTAAAGAAGAGACAAAGTAGAGAAAGAAGTAATGTAAGGAGATAAAAAGAATTAGGAAGAAGACAGTGCAAAAGAGTAAGATGTAGAGTAGATAGATAAGATGGCAAGTAGTGGACTGCCCACCATGCAGGGGGGCAAGTTTGACGGGATGTCAGATTTAATCGCCCAAGGGATAAAAGGCAGGCAGTGGACTGCCCACCATGCAGAGAGGCAAGTTTGACGAGATGGCAGATTTAATTGCTCAAGGGATAAAAGGCAGGCGGTGGACTGCCCACCATGCAGAGAGGAAAGTTTGACGAGATGGCAGATTTAATTGCTCAAGGGATAAAAGGCAGGCGGTGGACTGCCCACCATGCAGAGAGGAAAGTTTGACGGGATGGCAGATTTAATTGCTCAAGGGATAAAAGGCAGGCGGTGGACTGCCCACCATGCAGAGAGGCAAGTTTGACGGGATGGCAGATTTAATCGCCCAAGGGATAATCCATACAGACAACAGTTTCTGCCCAAACCTCTCCCTAACCAGTCACTCATCAGGACTGATGAATTTTCATCCATACATGAAGCACACTGTATCTAGATAACTGGGTCCGCCAACCTATTGCCTATGACTACCCAATTCATATCACCGCCGCCAATACGCGTTCAGATGGCGACTCGATCCAAGCCCACTCTGAGAAAGGGAAAGCCATATCCAATAAGGTGGGAGAATTTGCTTCCCAAAGGTGTGATGGCATCAGACACCCCTCCTACAGGAATCGACTTATGCCTACCCCATTTCTCACCGAGAAACCATAGGGATTGGTGTCCAATTCTGAATCTCGGCAACCTTAACCAGGCAATCAGGCCTCAGAAATTCCACGGGCTCCCTGCCTGTAGTCTTCCAGAGCCTCCACTCCAGAGAATAGACTGTGTCTTTAGAAAGATGCCTATTTTCATGTCAATATCCATCCTGCAGACTACAAGTAGCTGCAACTCTGCCAGATGGCCTTGTGTACCAGTCTTTAGTTCTACCATTCAGTCTGTGTCCAGCTCCCTGGAGTCCTCATATGGGTAATCAAAGCCCAAGTGGCACACTTTTTACCCCAGGGGAATCAGGTATTTAATGTGCCTGGACGGCTGGCCCATCTTTAACGACTTTAGGCTGGAGTCACCTACAAGTTGTGATGAATCTGCCCAATTTCTAGGTGTTAATATGAACAGGGAAAAATCTAATCCTATCTTGGTACCCATTTACCATGAGGGAGGGAATCGTAATCAAAAGTGATGCTGTTAGTCTATGAATAAAATACTTACCCGAATTAACACCCTTCTATATCTCCATCCCAGATTGGTTTTTGTGATTAAACAAATAAAATCAATCCTATTTCCTTACCTGTAATAGGTGGGCCCCTCATTGATTGAACTCCCATTCTGTGGATAACTATGTGTTAGTAATTGCTTAATTAGTGTAACTCTTTGTCAGCCAAATTTTGGATCCTTCTCTTCATTGGACCTGCTGTCATCATTTCTCTGATTAATGCATGCAGATTTGCGGCTTCATAAGGATGTGTGTCTTTTTCCTTCGGCATCTTGGAAATGTCCAGATTACCACGGATGCACCTCTAAGAGCTGGGGCAGTTGTAGATCAGTTACTCCATGAATCAGCTGGTCACATCAACATCATCAAGTTGAATGGCAATAATCTTCTTTGTGACAGTCCATTTTGTATTTGCTCTTTTTGGTTCTTTCGTTTGAGTCACTTAAAAAATCTGGTTATGGTTTTGGTATCTTGTAAGTGCTGGAAGGCTGGAATATCACCATACAATTTGTTTGTCCTACTTTACTGGGCTGTTCAAAACTCAGGTACATGATTCTTCTCCATCCATCAGCCTTCATCACCATTTTTGCACACAGTGTTTGAGAGGATAAGTTTTGCTGTGTAGTTAGGAAACTAAGCATTGTACGTGCATAAAACATAAATTCACGTTTTTTGTCTTGTCAATTAAACATCACAGTCCAGCATTCAAATTTTACCATAGCTTGATGAGTCAGAGTGACATTCATTCAGTGAACACATCCAGCACACATCTGCTCACGTACATGAGGCTTGGGTCGCAGATGCGTCATTGTCTTTACACGATGATACCATCACAACATTCAAGGTGGGCTTCTGGTGACCAAGACTCCCACTATAACAGTTTTATACCCCTTCTCCAGTTTTCGAGTTAAGATAAGGCAAGATATTTTTTATGCCTCTTTTGCGAATTTAAAAAAAGAAAAACTTTCAATCTTTTCTGAAAAATTCTCACCTAAGTCGGCCTATTTAAATTGAATCAGAAGTGCTGTAAATCCATGGGCATGTTAGAGCACTGCACAGACATTGAGGTTTTTTACAAATTATCGTGGCAATCACACAGCATTAGCTGACAGGTTTAAGTATATATTAATACTGTATAATGAAAATATTTATATATATTTTATTTATATTTATATTATAAATATTTATATTTTATTTTATTTTTTTAGTAGTGTTTATATTTTTTTGTTGTATGGCTTAGATTGGAAAACAAAATAATTCCCTTGAGTATTTAAATATAATTGTGTAGGCGGTGACAATAATCATAATAATTTTAAAATAAATGTTACTCTGAGGATATTTTCCTTGTTTATTGCATATTTTATTTTAATACGACTGCTTCTTTTAATAATACATACGGTAAATATTATTTATTTTCCATTGTGCAACTTTTTTTAACACTATAATGTTTTGTTCCATTACATATTCATTTATTTTTCAGGAAAAGATTTTTCTTTATCACAATAAATTTTTGGGTTCTTTCTCCTGTAGAGTCTTGAACACT